AAAAGTAGAAATGGTGAGCGATAAAAGAAAGGCGCAGAAGTGAATAGAGTTTTAAGCGATAGTCGAGGAGGCTCTTCTCAGCAAGAGACCAGTGCGGTTTGTGTATCCAGACCCCAGAGAGCTAGCAAGTTCCAGCGTGCCAGACGGATAGTAATGAAATAAGTAACCTGCAAGCTGAAAAGACCCGGTCATAATGCATAACGCAACATTCACGGGCATTTCAGTCGTAGGCTGAACGTCCAAGTAGGTAGTCATCCTTCGAGTTGGTGACGTATCTTTGTGCGTTCGGGTCCAAGAGGGCCGCTCCCCCGGTAGAAGGGGGAGGGAAAGAAGCGAAGAGAAGACAGACGGATATTACTCCCCAACCCTTCCTTTTTTGGACAAATGATTAAGGAACGATGTAAGTGTGATATCAAGAGAACATGACCAAAAAATCAGGAGTATCGAGGTAAACGGGGGAAAACGAGGAAATTTTGCAGAGATGAGGGATGAAAAAGCAGACCAGATCCAACAAGCAAAGATGGAACCAAAGCGATTGGTTGATGTTCCCGAACGCCGGGCAAGCAAAAGCAGCGGCATAAGTTCAAAAAGACCCCGTGATCTCATCGTGGCATCGAGCTCTCCTCGGCCACTTACGAGTGGAAGAGGTCCCAGGCCCGCGCGCACAGCGCAATGAACTCTTCCTTCTTTCTCCGCTGCGTCTCCGGGCTGTCGCGGCCCTCGCCAAAGGGACCGCTCCGCTTGGCCTCCTGGCGACCGAGCGGCGGCGTGCCCATGTCACGCTCGTACTCTTCGCGTGTCCGGCGGCGGGAGCTGCCGCTGCGGAGCTCCGGGTTGATGCCAGCCTGCAGCGTCTGGCCCTTGTGGTCCCGAGGCGGCATGGGCGAAGGCGGCGTGGGGGGCTGGTGGCCGCCGTAGTGGACGATGCGGGGAAGCAGGTCTTCGCGACCGCCAGACATTGACTGGACGGCCTCCTCGGCCGACTTGTACTCGCGGGGCCTGGCGGCAAAGGTCTGCTGGGGCGGTGCGCTGGGAGGGAAGCTGGGAGAGGGAAGAGGCTGCTGCTGGTTGGAGTGAGAAGAGTGGCCGGGGCTGGTGTTGGTGCGCTGGGGCTCGCGGGGAGGCGCGGCGAGCGACTCGCCGGCAAAGACGTCCGAGATGGGGGGAAGGCGGTTGTTGGTCTGGTTGGCCGGGACGTGGTGGATGTGCGAGCTCTGCGAGAGGTTCGAGGGCTGGTTTGCGACTTGGCGGGAGAGGTTCTGGAATTGTGAGCCGCGCATGCCGGTGAAGGACTGGTTGAGGGGAGCGGATTGGATGACGCGCTCGTTGGCGAATTGCTGGGCCGAGGGAGGGGCGATCGAGAGACCCGGGGGCGGGCCCTTCCTTCTCGACGTAGCGGGGCCCTTGGCGTTGCGGAACGGGTTCACGGTCACGTCGACGTGCCTGACGCTGTCGACGTTGTCGAGGGTGATGTTGGTGGGCTTGCCGCCCTTCTGGCGGGCCTCGATGATCTGCCTCTGTCTGTCCCGCACGTCGATGCTCCTCTGCAGCTGCTCGCGCATCGTGGGGTCCTGGGTGTGGAAGCCGGGCGACAGGCACGCCAGGCCGACGTCCTGCATGCCGAGGCCGGCGCTGTCCTTGGCGGTGAGGGAGCCCGAGGGCCGCGCGCTGAGGGCGCCCGAGCCGGCGTACATGTTGTTGTTGGACAGATCGAGGCGGCGAGGGCGATGCCGCGAGGCCGTGGGCATCTCCGGCGACGTGGGCTCTTTCTTTACGACGATCTTGGGTGCGTGCGAGTTTCTTGTCCTGCAAGGCAGAATAAGCAATCATGCGCACTCAAGGCCAAGCATTGGACGTGACGTACGAAGTGGGAGAGCGCTTGCTCTCGGGCATTTGCCTGTGTGCGGAACCATTGCTAGAGGTGGGGGAGCCGTGGTTGGGCGACGACCTCGACGACTTGGCCGAGGGAGTTGCTCCGTTGGAGGGAGCGATTGGGGCGTATCTCGATGAGTGGGCGGTGGGCTGCTCGATCGAGGGCGGCGCAAGCGGCGCGGTGACGGGCGGCGCAGCGACGGCGGTAGTCATGGTGTGTGTGTGTGTGTGTGTGTGTGTGTGTCGGCGGTCGCACAAATCGGGGAGGAGCCAGCCGGGGCGGGCAGCAGCAGCAGCAGTGGCAGTGGCAGCTGTGGTTGTGTGGTTGTCGTGGGGGTGTTGGGAGAGAAAAGACGACGACGATGTGGCGGAAAGGCGAGGGTTGAAGTCGGGAGGAGGGAGTGCTTTGACGATAACCGGCCAAGCACTGACAGGGCAGGGGTCAGGGAGGAGGGGGAATTACGGTGTTTGGCCTTTTGCGCATGCGGCTAGGATGAAACGAATTGGATACAGCTTGGGCGAGTCTGCTGGATGTGATTGTGCCACTTTAACTAAGCCAATACGCCCACAGACAAGGGCCCGACTTAGCTTGTTTCAGCGGCGAGCCGACAGCCAAGGCCTCCCCACCGCGACACAGCAACCAAGAGTGCATCCAAATTTCCGCGCCCTCGCCGCCCGCGATACAATAATCTCGTGCTGCATGGCTCCACCGCGCGCGATAAGAGGGGAGATTTTCCCCCAGTGAGATGCCTGTTTCATGCAGTGCCCGCCCAACGCTGCTGACTGGCCCCAGGCCCGTCTCGCTTGCAACGCGACCCGTCACATGCAACACTACGTGCGTACGAGTGTAGGTAGTTGGTTATCGAGTTTGCCTGCGGATTCCAGCCTGCCTACATACTACATGCTACATGCTACATGTGCCCTTACGCGTGCCAATCTCACCGTGCTGCCAAAAATAATCCGATGCTCATCTCCAGAGCCCGTGGCCCGCGCGCCTAATGAAATCCTGGGGACGAGTTTGATTATATTATTATTATTGATCCTGAACGCCAGAGGGACCTAGAAGCTAGAAGCCCTACTACTCGTACATTCCCGTCTCTCCATCCTCCCCTTCCCCTTCCCGGCAAGCAGAAAAGACCCTGCGTTGCCTCCCTCCCGAACCCCGAGGAGCCGCAATTGCACACAGGCCCCCTTGACCGGTGTCGCGGTCGTTGGTCGCTGCCTCGCACTGACGACCGGACGATGTCGCAATACCGCACATCGCGTTTCAGGGTCGCCGACGGCCTGGTTTGCCCTGGTCTCCCCTAGCCGGCCCCTCGTGTGTCGATCGAGCTTCTCTTGGCATACTATCGGCGTGGTGTTGCTCGGCGAGTCATCGCGCTGATGTGAAAGCTGGCCTCTCCTCACCTCGTGTCAGCAAATTGTGAACAAAACGCCGCAAACCTTGTTGTTGTTGTTGTTGTTGTTGTTGTTGATGTTCTTCTTCTTCTTTTTCCTTTTACATTGTTGCTGACTCCGCCCCCTCCCCACCCGCACACCCCCAGCCGCGTCCGTTCCATGCATGCGACAAGGCCGCGACACGCCTGACGCAACGCAAACGCAAACCTGTCACCCAACGCGTGGCAGGCCCTGCAGCGGTGAGCGGGCGTCCCCATGGAGAAGAATATTGGCTCGGAATCGCCAGCTCGAAGAAAGGGCCAGCAGCAGGCAAAGCAGGCAATGAATATCACCGGCGATGATGTTATGTGTTATGGACAGGGCTGACCGGCGCGTGGTGGGTTTTTCTATTGCATTGGACAATCGTCGCCGATCCTGCTCAGCGCTGCCTCGTCCATCCTTGCTGTGAGAGTACCCGCGCCGCCGCGCCGGCTTTCCAAGACTGCTACTGTATGGCCGGCCTGGCGATCGCTGCGTGTTGGTGCGGCCGCCGTCGGTCGGCCAGTCACATGGGCGCCGGCTTCCCCGGAAATCGCGACGGGCGGATCGTTTGAGAGTGAGACGTCCCTACCTACGAGTATCAAATAGTTTTAGTCTAGGTATATCCGCCACCTGGCACGCCCCTCCTTTTGTCTCCGACTCAAACAAACACCCAAACAACACATTCATCAACTCATCACTCATCCCCACCCCCGACCGCCGCCCGCAGCTCCCCCGAGACGTCTTGAGGGCCGTGCTCCCAATAGCCTCGCAGCCACCCACCTTATCGCTCGCACACGTCGCAGTTACCAGCCGTGCGGGCGGGCGGGCGCCGCCACCGCACTACCACCACACCAACCAACAAGCCAACCAATCCCCTCTTCCTCTTCTTCCTCCTCCCCTCTCCTTCCTCCATCTGGTGCCTCCGCCATCGGCGCGCACATACACACACACAACACACGGAGCCGGCACCCGCCCCCCCATCCAACGCCCGTGTCTCGGAACCCTTCGCACCCGCGACCCGCGCCTGCGCCGATGTGTTTCAGCGCGCGAGCGCACAGCCATGCGGGGAAAGGAGGTCTAGTGATGAGGAGGGGCGGGCTGGCCGAATCGAGTAATAGGTACGTGGGTAGATGATGAGCCGCATGACGAACGCCGACCGGGATGTGTAAGAGCGGTCCCACGCACGGAGGCACGAGGAAGCTTGGGGTTGGGGGCTGCGGAAGGCTTATTGATGCTGTTGTTGCTGATGCTGTTGTTGCTGATGCTGTTGTTGCTGATGCTGCTGCTGATGCTGATGCTTTCGCCCTGTGAGCTGAGGAGCACGTAGGTAGTAGGGTCGTCGCCTGCTGCAAGGGCGATGCGGCGCTTCGGGGCCGGGGCCCGTGGGCGAGCTACGTAGGTATCTAGGTGGGCTGGTCTGGGCTGGGCTGGCTGGCTGGCTGGACGGTTGCTAGTGACTCCGTACGCCTACGGTACAAGTGGCTGGCTGGCTGACAGACAGCTACAACCTCCAACGCGCCCAGACAAGCACGCACGCACACGCACACGCACACCAGCCCCCAAAAAAGGAGTATTGTAGCAGCCCAGCCCAGCCCAGCGCACACGATCACTCATCACGCAGATTCCAAATCCGACTCGCAACACGCCCGGCCCAGCGATGCGCGTCCCCGCCCGCGGTAGCAGTGGTGGTGGTGGCATAGACGCGTGCGTGCTTCTGATGCTCGCACGCACTCGCGCACGCGCCGGCGAATATGACGTTTTCCCCCAGCTCCATATAGAGGTGCTAGGTTGCCTTACCTGCCGCGTAGGTAGGAGGTACGTGGTAGGTACATACTGACTGTACCTGGGGCTGGGTTCCCCGTCTCTTGCCTCTTGCGTGCGTGCCCTGGCTGCCCCTCATCCCTCACTCCCGGTGCGGGCTGACCGGCGACAGCGCTGGCACGGCTTTCGTTCGTTCTTCCTTGCTTGCGTCTGTGTGTCTGTGTGTCTGTGTCTTGCGTCTGTGTCTGGGTCTGTGTGTGAAGAAGAAGTCTCTAGAACAATTTACTGCCTCAGCCACTATTGTGCTCGCTCGGCGCGGCCGCTGAGGCCGCCTGCCGCTCCTCTACTGCTGCCGCCACTGCTACCTATTGTACCTAGCTAGGTACCTGGCTGGCTAGCTAGGCTGGGCTAGGCTGGGCTGGGCTGGGCTGCTTGCTGGTTAGTAGCTGCTGCTGCGCCAGCGCGTACGCAGCGCTCTTGGGTGGGTGGGTAGGTATCTCGGCGCAAGGTGTAGGGTATAGGGTGGAGGTATGTAGGTCTGGTCACCCGTCCGCCCAGGAAGGCAAGTATGTAAGCAGACAAGCAAACGAGCCCTGCCGCGCCATCAAGCTGTCAACTCTGTGTGTGTGTGTGTGTGTGTGTGTGTGCACCACCACGAGCACCACGAGCACTACCAGAGAAGGAGGAGGAGCACCAGCACGTCCACAGCGCGCCCTGCCCCTACCCCTACCCCTACAATACCTACCCTGGCCGCCGTTCATGCACGACATACATAGCACCTACGCACGCGCGCCGTCGTTAGCCTCCGTGCGCGCAGGGCGGGGAACGGTCGGACTTGTACTGTACCAGCAAGGCAGCAGGACGGGGACCTACAGCAGGGACGTATTGTACAACGATAGGAGGCCGCAGACCAAGCCAGACCAAGCCAAATCAAGGTCAAGGCCAAGGTACGAATTACATACAAAGCTGGTTACCTACCTACGGAGAGAGGAAGGAAGGGAGGGCGAGGCCCGCGCAGGCCCGCGCAGGGAGAGAGGGGGGTGGTGGCCTTAGGTATGTATAGCGCGCCCATCTTATAGCGCGAACACGAGGCGCCGGGGGTACCTAAGTGTTTATCGACGACGACGACGAACGCAACGAACACGACCGCACACGCTCAAGTATTGGCTACAAGCGCCCCTAAGCGCGCGACGCGACGCGATTGGCCGACACGAAACCTGCCATTTTATTTGTTGTGCGGTTCATGCGCTGCCAGGCCGTCGACTCCGCCGCTGCCGCTGCCGCCGCCGCTCGAGTCCTCCCTGAATGCGAGGTACCTAGGTGGTAGAAGAAGAAGGGGAAGATATTCGTTCGAAATACTGCCTACGCCCGCTCTGACTGCACTGCTAGCCTGTCCGCCGCTGCCTGTGTTCTGTTCCCGGGTAGCTCCCTTGATGCTTATAGATTGCGTGTATGCAGGGCGCCTCTCCCCCACTACCACCATTGCCGCCGCCGCTGTCATCGCTGCAGCTCGCCGACCCCTCCTCCATACGACGATACGTACTCGCAGCGCCCGCCCTCACCGCTCACTCCGTCCTAGGCCGCTTGCTCGGGCTCGCAGACCCGCGCGAGGGCGTGATGCTGAACATGCCCAGCGGCGGCGCGCGCGTAGGCGTGCTCGTCCGTCCCACCCCCGTGGCCGGCGAGGGCGCGCTCGTGGGGTGCGACCTCACGCCATTGTTGCCCGCCCCGCCGCTGCCGTGGCCATTGTGGCCGTCCCTGTCGTCGCCAAGGCCTCGGAGCGGCGCGGAAAGCAGGGCGTTGTTCCGCTCGTGAGCCGCTGCGTTCAGCCTCGCCTTTTCTTGCCGTTCGGCGTCCTCTTCCAGCTCCCGCGCGTGCTCTTCGCGCCATTCCTCCGTTTCCTCGAGCAGCAGCTCGATGACTTGGCTGCGGTGCTCCTCGAGCATGTTCGGAATGTCCGATTGTGGTGAGCGGATGAGGTTGCCGTATTTCTTGCGTAGCTTGCGCTGTCGACTAGGATCCCACGCACCGTGGGTATCTGACACGAATATTGTCGAGTGCTAGATGTGCGCCACAAGGTTAGTGGATTCGATCTTGGCTTGCCAGCAGCCAGCAAAGACTTACTGCGTGGTACCAATTTCCGATGTAATCGTCTGTCAATTTTTTGATTGATTGCAATGGATTGTCGGCGAGGAAAGCGATGCAGTGCTTTACTGCATCGGTGCAATGATCTTTAAGCGCAACAACTGTTTAGGTCATCCGGGCGTTCTTATCGAGTGGGGGGCATACCGTTTTCACCTAACAGGTCGATGATCCCGGCATAAGCGGCACCGACGCCCATGAAGAAGATGCTGGTGTTTTCACCAAGCCTTTCGGGGAGCATCTGATTAGCCAGCGGTCTCAGAAAAGGACCTTGGAATGCTCACTCAATGTAGTTCTCCCAAAGGTACGACGCAAGCTCCTTTGTAGCATGTGCTCGTTTATCAGGGTCGTCTGCTTCCACATAGCCAGCTGGCCCCTCGAGTAGACGTCAGTATGAACCACAACAAAGTGCAGGGATATCTTCCTTACCTCCAGGTCTGTGATGTACTTTGGAATGTTTACGTCTATAACGCCAAAGTGGTTTTCGACAGCCCATTCCACGTAGGTCTTGGTCACATCAGTCTTTCAAATCGCGAGTCAGCGGATATAGAGCGTCGTTCCGCAGTTAAGAACATACCACAAAGATATTATGCAAATCAATATGGTCTGACTGCGGATCACGGAGCACGGTCGTCTCTGGAGGCTCATGGAAAATGACAAGCAGAGGACGTTTACCGTCAAAGTCTTGCCTGGTGTCTTGGTCAGAAAAATTCATCCCATATGTAAAGACGCGAAGCAACGGATCTGTGAAAACTTACGTGGCAAGCACTTGCTTCTGGAATGACGTTGAGATCCTGTCTCGGATGATACATAACTCTGTCATTCTGTGGGCTTGGAAAAACTCCTCGCTGTCATTTGCACGCACAATATCGTGCATCCTTCGTGGTTTCAAGCGGCTGACATAATCTTGGTCGATCGTCCGGTATGAAGACATGCATTTCCAGAATGGCGACTGCGTCCTCTTCACCAACTCGACGGTCTCATATCCGAAGCGCGAGGGCTCAATGTCGCCCAACCGATCCGGAGGCTCGCCCATAAGTGTGCGAGTAACTGCCAATGCCGACTTTGCAATCGAGCGTAAGTTATAACCTCCTTCAAGGCAGACCACAATCTTGCCTCTGGCTAGAGACATTAACATGTGGGTCATATGCGCATAGCACGGCGGCGTGACATGGCATTGCCCTAGCCTGTCACCTTCTGCGGCATCAAACCCAGCCGAGACGATGACAAGGTCTGGGTCGAACTCAACAGCAATTGGCATCACCACTTGCTGAAATGCGTACATGTAGTCGCCATCGCCCATTCCTTGCCTGCACCATGGTATGTTGACGTTCCTACCAAGTCCTGGGCCTTCACCGTTGTGGTGGTGGTCTCCATAGGTAGTTGCCGGGTAGAAAGTACCATTCTTATGGACGTGCATAGAGATATACAAGACGTTCGGGTCGTTGTAAAATGCTTGTTGCACACCATTACCATGATGTACATCCCAATCCAAAATGAGGATCTTGCGGCAATCCATGGGGAAATCCTGCTGGCAGACTCTGGCGGCTACGCAGACGTTGTTGAAGAAACAAAACCCGCCAGGTTGGTTGTGTTCGGCGTGATGTCCCGGGGGCCGGATGACTGCAACGGCATTCTTCACGTGCTGGGCAACGACAGCTCGGGCTGCTTCAATTGCTCCACCTGCAGACAAAGTCGCGCAGAAGTAGGTGGTAGGGTGAAGATAGACCGAATCCAGATCCCGGGACATTTCGTTTAGGAGTTCTTGGGGGTTGTCTGGAAAATGCGTCAGTTACAAGATCTTTCCACAGTCACCGCTTCAATCTGCCACTTACGAGGCAGGCTCTTGACCCAGTCATAGTGTTTTTTCGAATGCACCAAGCAAATCTCTTCCTCAGTAGCAGGTCGTGCGTTAATCCTCCAGAGAGCGAAGTCTACGTCTGCAACGGGATTGCCAGGCGTCTCAACTAGACCTGCCTCGGCGAGTTCTTGGAAGATTTCCAGAATTCGCCTTGGATCTTCAGGATGTATATCATCCTCGTCTAATAATGCATCTATTGGTTCGGTGTGAAACCTCATGCGAACGTCATAGACGATACCTGTTTGGTTCGAACTGTACGGTAGCGCGTCCACCTTTGGTTTGCGACGGATGGGGATCGCAACCTCAACTCTTCTAAACGGCGGTGGTTTCGCGCGGTAAGTATCGTCATCCATTACTTCTGCTCCGGAGGATGAACCGTTGACGTCTGGCATTGGTTCGCCATTATCACCAGTAAATGGAGCGAAAGTTGGCGAGCCTTCTTGGCCTGTGACTTTCTTCAGGGCAGCTGGGTTGATGCTAATGAAAGGAGGATCAACGGTTTCGGCGGCGCCGTTTGCTTCGGTCGACCGCAGGATAGAGCCATCATTCTCGACAAACATTCCGTCGTCGATATTCATATTGGCTACAGCACCGGAGCCTGAGATCTTTACAGCCGTGACCTGTACGTCATTTACGCATGTTCGGCCGGAGCTCTTGCTGGAAAGCGCTAGCATGAAGACAAAGCGTTTAGCGGAAGTGAAGTGTTGGGCACGCGAATGATCTGAACATGGTCTGACGCGGGCGGGGAGGCGTGTCAAGGATGGGGTACTATGATAAATGTATGTGATAGATACAAGAACAGTAGCTTACCAGTTTGGTGACTATGAAAGAGAGGTGGGGTAGAGATGATTGCAGCAAGGGATGGGTTGGTCGACAGGCGCGTCTCGTGACGTGGAAATTGGGTATCAGTAGGCTGTGTGCGAAATGTTCTTTAAGACATAAGTCAGCTTTTTTGACTGAGCTTTCCAGTCTGCTCCAAGGCCGACTGCTGGTTCAAAGCGACATGCGTCCAACATCTAGAACTGATGGCTGGTTCACCAAAGCACGTAACGAACCGAAGCGCGTGGTTGTATGCAATGCCAATGTCCGCAGCCACAGCTGGAGAGATCTTACCTGAATGATCCGATGTATCAGGTTCCGACCAAAGTCTTTGCCACGAAGACTGGGTGTTCGGAGGACGGACTGGTGAAGGTGTGCTTGGTGTTGCAATGGGAGCTGGCTACCCTAATCGATAGCAGATCGCCGAGAATTATGCGAACGGAGATGGAGGTCGCGCACGTGATTACTCCCTTTTTATAACCCCGCCGACCCAAGAGAGCTTTTCCGACAGTTTCAGGTCATGTACTTGCAATGTGAATGTGTTGACTACAAATACTTCAATGTACATTCCGCAATCCCACTAACAATTGCAGTGGTTCGAGATCGCCATGATTGACATTAGTTGATACGACAACTACTCCATACGATCTACAAGATAGAACGTCCAGAAACTCTCTAAGACATCATAAGCTGTTGAAAAATGTTGATTCTTTTTGATCTATTATGAGTTTGTAAAGATGGTTTTGGTGATATCGAAGTTAAATCCAACGCAATCTATAGGCAATTCGAGTCAACACTTTCAGTCTAGTAAACACCAGCAATTCGCGGTCTGTTTATAATACTGAGTACATGGCAGAAGTTAGGTATAGAACGAACAGTTCCACATGCAAGTTCTCTCGTTGCTGTGCCGCCAACTTATATATTTCACGCATGAACTGTGCTTGTCGTCACCTAACGGGATCGCCGATTGTTATCTTCTAGGAGACCCTCAGAAGACCCTCTTTATAATCTTTCCGGTTAGGACTTGGTTGACATGAGTCACTTCACCGGAGCATTCATTATCCGCAAAATGGTGCCAAAAAACAATTCAAATTTTGATATCTATACATTTCCTCCATCGTACTAACTCATCGCTCATGCTGAGGCCATTAAAGCGGACCTACTACGACCCGCGTAATGGGTCATTTTGGTGGGGTATTTAGGCGTTGCCGTCAACCTTGGCAATGTAGGCAAGGAGGTCAAGGACACGGCGGGAGTAACCCCACTCGTTGTCGTACCAGGCGACGAGCTTGACGAAGTTGTCGTTGAGCGAGATACCGGCCTTGGCATCGAAGATGGAGGAGTGCGAGTCGCCGTTCATGTCAGAGGAGACGACGTCGTCCTCGGTGTAGGCGAGAATGCCCTTGAGCTGGCCCTCGGCAGCAGCCTTGACGGTGGCCTTGATGTCGTCGTAAGAGGCGCCCTTCTCGAGGCGGGCAGTCAGGTCGACAACGGAGACGTTGGGGGTAGGCACACGCATGGCCATACCGGTGAGCTTGCCGTTAAGGGAAGGAATGACCTTGCCGACAGCCTTGGCGGCACCGGTACTGCTGGGAATGATGTTCTGAGCAGCGGTACGGCCACCACGCCAGTCCTTGGCGGAGGGACCGTCAACGGTCTTCTGGGTGGCGGTGTAGGAGTGGACAGTGGTCATCAGAGCCTCAACAATGCCGTACTTGTCGTGGATGACCTTGGCGAGAGGAGCCAAGCAGTTGGTGGTGCAAGAGGCGTTGGAGAGGACCTCAATGTCGGACTTGTAGCTCTCGTTGTTGACGCCCATGACGAACATGGGGGCATCAGCGGAAGGAGCGGAGATGACAACCTTCTTGGCACCACCCTTCAAGTGGGCCTTGGCCTTCTCGGTGGTGGTGAAGACACCGGTGGACTCGACGATGTAGTAGGCACCGGTCTCAGCCCAGGGGATGTTGGCGGGGTCGCGCTCGGTGTAGAAGCGGACGGTCTTGCCGTTGACAGTCAGGTCGCTGCCGTTGACCTCAACGGTGCCCTTGAACTGGCCGTGGGTGGTGTCGTACTTGAGCATGTACGCCTGCAAAGCCGCCGTCAGCACTGTTTCTTGTTCCGTCGGTGTTCTTTTTTCCTAGTGTATACATACAGCGTACTTGGGCTCAATGAAGGGGTCGTTGACAGCAACGACGGCGACGTCATCGTGCTCGATGCTATAGCTCAAAGTCAGTCATGCCCGGATTCGGAGACGGCGGCAATCAACTTACGCGTTGCGGAAGACGATACGGCCAATGCGACCGAAACCGTTGATACCAACCTAGATTGAAATGTGAGTCGGGGAATAAAGGCAGGCGGTGGTGGAGGTGAGCCCAGCTCGTACCTTGATGGGGGCCATGTTGATTGCTAATAGATAAAGGTCAGCAGCTGTCCTGAAGCTTGGAGGGGTAGGCGGCCAGGCTCACTTTTTGGGTGATGGAAGTGAGTAGGTTGAGGAAGGAGGTTGATGGATGTTGTTGTGGATTGAGTCTCTGGGAGGAGGGGTAGCAGGCTTTATGTTGTTGAGGGAAGAGCTTTGTGGCTGCGAAGTGGGGTGTACTTATGCGTTCTCGGAGGGGCAATGTTAGTTTGCGTATTGTATTTTCAGAAGGCAGTGACGTGATAGCTAACTCCTTCCGTGAATTCGCGCTGATTTTTTATGCAACCTCAGGTCATCTATCGTGAACTCGAAACGCAGGGCAAGCAGCGAACATCTGATATCACCACTGCAGCAGCTGTCGCCCTACAGGCCTGATCGCCGCCTGCTCCCCCCGCACAGCTGCCGCGGAACTGGGGGAGCGCCCTCTCTGCACCCGAAATCGCCCGGCTTCCCGAACGCCTCGCGAGCCTGTAGCGTTCCATATTTCCGTAACGAATTCTGAGCTTGGCACGCCAGTGCGCCCGCCCAGCACCACCAGCGTTGAGGGTTGGCGTGCATAAGGCGCTCTTGTGCAGCGTAACGAATCCTCGTACGATAGCCCGCGCCGCTCGAGCAGCCAGAGCGATTTCGCTCATTGCTTAGCCAGCCCAGTCTTACCATGTCGAATGACCCACCGTCGTGCCATCGAATGCCATCGACCGCCGGCCCAACGTGTTTTGCTGACTGACGTACGATCGGCCCGCCCCTGGACCCGTAATTTACCTGCAGATAAGGCGATGAGTCGATGCGCTCACGGCATCTTCGTGGGTCTCGGCGATGCGGGCGGTGCCGAGCCCAGGGCTGAGAAACAGCGCAGCTCCACGGGTGTCACGATATCAGGTGCTGTAGCACCACCTCGTGTGTGGCGACACGGCTCGTCCACCATGGTATAAGACCGGCGTGAGTCAAGTGGCGCTGGCGCGCCCGCCCTTACAACCTACGCAACCACTCTTCATCCCCATCATCACATTCACAATGACCCGGATTCCAAATTCACTCACAGGTGGCATCAAGAGGACGCGCCCTTTGGCTCGCCTCCCCACCATCACGGACCTCAAGGTCTTGGCCCTCCGCTACAATTTATCCTTGTCCGTTGCAGGTACGCCGCCCGTGCTCTCTCGTTAGACTTACCCCGTCAGTTTGCCAACCCGACGCAGGCGCCGGTGCCTTTTGGAGCAGAGCATACGACTTCTCTGATGTCGACTTCGCCGGCGAGCAGCAGCAGCAACATGCGGCGTCGACCAGTCCAGGCAATTCACGCGAGCACTGATTGAATCCTTGAAACGTCACTCGCTTCCTTTCGGTCGCTTCCTTCGATCGCGGCACCGACGCCGATGCCTTGCCTTGGTCTTTTACAATCGTTCGATCGCACGATATGCGCAGTCACTTTTGCGATTTTCTACCAAACATACGTAAAATATGGGTATTACGCAGGGACTGCACCACCTTAGCACATTTGCCCTCCACCAAGTCCGCGGTTGTCTCGTTCCGCCGTTTCCCGCCGCACCCCGGACCTCGGGCAACGGTCACTGGATGGATGTATGGAGGAGCTGGCCGTATGCCCTTCGGCTTTTCGGCGCAGAGGAAACTCTGTCCAGCGACTGAATGTCCGTGCCCAACCTGGCGAAAGCATTCATTATTAGGACCTTCAAAAGATTTGGGATGTTGATTGGGTAAAACCAATTGAGCGGGCGAACGAGGACACATCATAGTGCCGATCAAGCGTATGATTGGAAGAAGCTCGCAGTCCGGATGAGGGGTCCCGCGAGGCGACGGGATTGACGCTCATCTTTTCCACTCCACAACAATCGATGCGAGGGCGGTCAAGAATACCCGGCTAGGAGCTTGAAGCTGGAGAGCAGTGTCAGAACCGAAAATCGTTTCCCTACTCTCCATTTGACCCAGAGGTTTACCCGAGGTCTATGGCACCTGATATAGCTGCACCGGAATAGTTGTTGATGGCATTTGCACGTTTAAGAGGCCAATACCCCTTTCCGAAGCTCGGTGAGCTGGTATTCTACAGCGGAATGTGTAGGCACAATTGAATGCTTGCGATTTGGGGCAATGCTACGTGTAGCGATCCACAATATGGCTTTTGAAAAAGAAAATTGGTCTGCCAGAATCACCAGATTTTGAACTTGAATTTTGGGACCGACAACGCAGGGGCTGTCGCATTTTCCGGGTCCTTTGCCCTTCGTAATACCCCTCACTATCTCCGAAACTTGCACTGAGAGGAGCCGAAACCTGATAGAGAGCGGCAGCAGCATCAGCAGCAGGGTGTACTGTACGAAGCAATCCGTAAGCGGCTTGCTGCAGCTAAACCCGTTCCGTCATGCTTCTTCTGCTCTCATCTGATAGGTCGCTTGGGCACCATTGACACCTCGGGTGGGTCTGCAGACACGTGCAAGTGGTTGGGAATACATGCGATAAATTCGAGACTGTTGTAATCGCAGAAGCTCTGGGATGCAATAGTTGGGGCAGCTCTTGTTGTTCGTAGGTAGATAGAAGGCAGGTGTTTGATGTTCTTGTTCTGCAGTGAGCTCGCGCCGGCAAGACCCGCTGGCGTGACTTTTGCCAAAACCTCCGCTGCAGCGACCTCTCGTCACCATACCTCTGACACGCTGCAATCAACCACCATCGATCAATTGGTCCGCAGCGGCGAGCCCTACGGCCCTTAACTCACCCACCCCGTCGGTTTTCGTGCTACTCTCCACTCCACACTTCACAATGCTTCGCTCCAGCATCGCCCGGGCTACCAGCTCGGCGCCCTCGGTCGCCCGTCAAGCTGCCCGTGTTCAGACTCGCAAGGCCCACGCGATCTCCAGCCCTACCCTGGCCAACATCGAGAAGCGCTGGGAGGGCATGCCTCCTCAGGAGCAGGCCGACCTGTGGATGGCGTTGAGGGACAGGATGAAGGTTGACTGGAAGGAGATGACTCTGCAAGAGAAGAAGGCCGGTACGTCAAGCGGAGCGGCGCGGGACGCGATGCGCGGATGAGCAGCATTTGGCCCAACATTGATCCGATGCGACAATGATGCGAATGGCGATGCGGCTGTCGAAGCGCATTGTTGACGCGCCCAACCTCCATATATCAAGGCAACGTCATGGCTAATCAGGGACTCACAACAGCGTACTGGATTGCCTTTGGCCCCCACGGCCCTCGCGCCCAGACCCCTCCCGGTGAGGCCAAGCAGGTCTTCCTCTACGTCCTCGCCGGTGTCGGTGTCTCTGGCGTCCTCTTCGGCATTGCCCGCTACTTCGGTAGCAGCCCCCCCAGGACCATGACCAAGGAGTACCAGGAGGCCTCCGAGGAGTACCTCAAGGTTCGTCATATCGGATATAAACGTATGCGCACAAGCTTGAAGCTGATTTGCCGGATTACAGTCGCAAGGCTCCGAGACCATCACCGGCTACCCTGGCATGCTTGTCCAGAGCAAGCCGGAGAAGAAGCAGAGCTAAATATCTCGCCCTGGCTAGGAAATTTCTCTGGTTGTCAATTTAACATGCAGACGTGCTTTCCTTTGTTATCTGTGACATTACCCTGTACGCCAGCTAAGTTAGTAGGCAAGGGGCCGGATCTCCACGGAACGAGTCGCTGGGCTGCCACTGTGAGGGCGCTCGCCGCTGTACAGAAAATAGAAGAGGCATTTCGTGATATATTCGCCTTTAACCTATGCATTGATTGCCAACAGTTCCCTGCAAAGCTGCATCATAGCTTGCAGGAGCTCGTGTGATGTAAACACCATCGTCAGACCAGATCAACCTACTTCTGAAACCTGAGACAGCTATTGACGTATCAAGATTCGGGTTTCCTTCCACGGATGTGCCCGCTTGCTTAGTCAACTATAAGCTTAGTGGATGGAGCTGTCTAGTAGCTATTTGTGTGAAGGCTTGTTCTAGGGGAACTCCCTGTTAGCAATGCCGTGCCGCTTTGCTTGCACCATGCGAACATCCATCCTTTCATTTGACACGTTTACCCTTGACAAACCTCCGACAATGTTACTGTCTGGAGCGATCACTTCCTACCTTTGACGAGAGCTTCGACCTTTTACTACCGCGGCGGCAGTCCCTAGATAAACTACAGCCAAAGCCTGCGTACTCACACCTAACCCACCCATCTCACTAACCCACCTACAAGTCCCCTCCGCGGGGCTTTTGACTAGCTAGGTGAGCTTCCAACAGCTTGGAGCTTTGACAAAAACTAAAGAAGCTAAAGGATGGTGCAGGAAGCGGCGCGCAATGGTTCCGCACGATGGCGGAGACATAATCGGTTCACGACGTGCGACACCTGGGGTTGAGATGGTTGGCTCACGGCACGCAACGCCCGCCAACGATGAAGGCGACATTATCGGGCGACGCTTCAATGATCGCGGCTTCAACGAGGCTGCGGTCCTTCGATCGCGCTGGGCAGCCAGTTCCACGAGGTTGCCGACGTCGAAGCTGACGCCTTCGTACCCTCCCATCGACGCAGCGAACCCAAGCGCAGCCGATAAGCCTCCCTCACAACCACCGGCCACCCTACGAGGACTCAACCTTCAGCGAATTAAGCGCCTTATCGACCGTCTCTCGTGGAAATCGCTCCTCCTGCGCGGCTCGCAACAAATCGCGCTAAACTCCCCCGATGCGACGTCCACCGCAGCCGCTCCCACCACCATGTTTAAGCTCGACTTCTTCGAATACTACGTTCTTCTGGAGCGCGTGATCGTGCTATTGCTGGCGTTCTTCGACATTCATATTCCGCGCGGTTCGGCTTTTGGTGGTCCTACTGGCTCCTGGGGACATAGATATCATGCCAACGTGCTGGAAAAGTTGGACAACGAAGGGAATCCTTTGCACGAAATACTGGGAAAGGATCCCGTGCGCGGCTTTCTCTGGACGGCAAAGGACTTTAGAAACAAGTGGAAGGATGCGGATGAGAAGGACGGGCTTGCCACTTGGGAAAATCAGCGCGATGACGTCGTCAAGTTGCATGTAGAGCAGATGGTGACGGAGATTCTGGCGGCATTGGAGAAGGCGTATAAGATAGCTGACGAGAAAGGTGGATCTGGAAAGGCACCCGAGGTACCCGCTCCCCAGACGGCGGCTGCAGCAGACCTGGCCGATGAGAGTGCGGATATGGATATGGAAGATGCACCGTGGGAGGCTGTTGGGGACGCTATGGAATGGGAGGTCTTTTAAGCCGCCGCCAGCATATATCAGAACCGCTGGAGGTTACAGTTAGACCATTCGTAGACCTTGCATACACGCTTGTGTAAATACCAATTCCTATAAATGCCTTCGTACTCATATTGGCTGTTACGCAGTAGAGGATTGTAGCTCAACTGTTACTTTGGCTCCACAGCGGCAACTTCTAGGTATTTATGGAGAGAACACTAATGACAATAAATCAAATGCAGTTGTTGTTTATACTCGAATAATTTTATCATATGCATGTTTCCAAGATACACGTAGGATTTATCAAAATCATGATGGAATTGAAGAAGTAGCACTGAAATTTTATGAAGGTCATTTATCTTTCCCTATTCGTATTTAATCATAGATGTGTTTTCTACCTTTATATTTAGTTCAAACTATACTATGTTATATAAATATGTTTTAGCGTACTCATAGGACAAAATCCTCGGCCTTAATCCCGTGTAGCCTCTTGCTATATTGCCTGAATTTAACCTACATTTTGTTCTCTTTGGCTGATGATTTTGTGGTGTTGTTCGATTACTCGAGGTAGCAATAAGGTAGGGCAGGAAAGGGTGGTTCTTTTGTCCGATGATTTTCCTAGCGTCCAACCACATACCATTCTCAAGTCTTCACCAACCATGAACGCTCTACACCAGCGTTCAAATACAGGTCAATGACTGCCATTTGCAGCCTGCCCTGTCGCTCCAGAAACGGCTTGAAGGTTGTCTTCCATCGATTCGTGTATCCTTGCTGGTAAACCATCGATGGCTGACCCCGCAGGAGTATCCTTTCCTTCCCAACGACGCGTGAGGAGCTCCGATAACGCTTATTTTGGGCGATGATGACGTTCCTCGATATCGACGAGCTTGTGTACAAGGCATCGAGGCTTGATTCTGAGCGGGAGTAACCAACCCAACCGCAGGATAAAAGTCGATACTCGAGATATACATATCCCGGAGGGGACGACGCTTCAAGTACACCTCAAACGCTAACCTCCTACTCGAGGACCGCGGAAGAACGGTGGGGATAGAAAGCGCTACTGAGGAGCCCAGCAGTCCTTGCGTTACTGCCGAGTAACCTCACCCTCTTGCACCTACCTCTATTCGTTCCAGAAAGCCTCCGGTTCGCTTTCTGACCCCTAGTGTCTCCTCAAGCTCAAGGAAGGGCATAAACCTTCGTGGTACGGTACCCCCTAAGACTTGTGGTCTTTGCTTGCGAGGCTACGGTTTGGAGTCATTAGCAGTTTGTCAATCCCTAAGGAGGAGCAACAGGCCGTTGCACAAGTCATTGGTCCAACTTCCCGAGCTCTTAATCGCATACACAGCAATCCTGTAGCGTCCTCCTGGATTCTCAAGATAGAAGGATGAAAATACCTCCAGAAAAATGTGGATCGATATGGTCTCGGATGCTCTTGCTGCTCTGCCTGAACGCGCATGCACTGGCCCGGTTCCGAAGATGTCAGCACCCAGCACTCTACTTTGAGCACGCTCTGGAGGACCCATGATGCGGATGTACTGCATAAAGTCTACGCGATGATATTTCTTCTGCGTACTTTGGTTTTCTCTAGTAGTGCGTCTCTTTAAGTGGCAAACACCTAGCTCCCTTGTCATGCACCCAGCCGGTCGGCACTGTCGGGACCCTTGTTCTTCTCTTCATCCAGGAGACGCACATACCGCAGCCGTCGCAGAGGCAGTGTGGCATTTTTGAGCTGAAAGAGTTGGCGCAATACTGTGTCCTGGTAATGGAACCCTATGGAGCGGCCATTACTGCCCATACCCGGGCTCGTTGTCGCGTCTTACTGCTGTATCATCCGCGTAAACCCACTTCTGGGCTGTTGTCTCATACGCTTGAGCAAGATGATTGCATACCTTTGATCAAGATCGCCAACTTCGGTTTGCTGCGATCCGTCGACTGCAAGTAGAGGGAAAGGGGTTGGCCAGGACCGAGGGCTAACGAGGTTAAGAGCGCTGGCTGGTTTGGCCCACAGCCTGGGCGTATCGCATCTCCCGCAAAAGCAGGCATGGGATAACCTCTATCGAAGGGCAAAGCCAGGCTGAAGCCTACCGTCAAAGCCACCTGTCTTGGTGGCAATACAGTTGCAGGCACTGCTTGCACGGGGGTCACTGGACCGCAGCGACTGGACCGGCGCACCTATGCGGCATAGGCGGGCTCGAGATGTGATGACGTATCGTACAAATCCCATGCCCTGTGAACTTTGTTTTCCGCAACCCAAGTTTCTCCCCCCTTCATCATCTTGGCAACTCCACCAGCCTATCCGCCACATCCGCAGCACACAACGAAGCCGCTGAATCTTGCGTATCAAAGTTGCCTTCGGTCGCTCTTAGGCGCGCAAACAAAGTTCACGCACCCCCGGTCGGCTTCCGTCGCGACAATGGCGGACAACGATCGCCTTCCGGGCCTCCCTGGCCTACCCCCGGAGCTGCTCATACCAGTTACAGGCTATGTGCGCAGCTGCATCGTCATGTCCATCAAAGTTAAGATGCTAATATTGTCTGTAGATTAGAGACATTTCAGATGTCCGTAGCTTCTATGTGGCTTTAAGGTCCTGCCTGTCCACTAGAGCCAACTCCGCTTTCGTACTCGAGTCGTTGTATGGGTACATGGCCCTGGCTCTGCGTGGCTACCAAGGAGTGATACCCGAATCCTGGTCCAGAGCCTTTAGGAACAAGGAGAACCTGAAAAACACCAAAAAGCTTGCCTTCTACTTCGGCACGGATGAGTCTCTGCCCCAACAAGCTGTTGATTTCGTAGCCTACGCTATTTCCCAAATCCCGAAGGACCAGCTGTAGGAATTACAGTACGTTAATTAGTTCTACAAACACATCCTTTTCATTTTCCGCTAACAAACCAAAGTTGCACATTCGGAAAATTATCAAGACACCCCGAGAAGCTTGTGACTATCCTCAGGAAGGAACAGCGCAATCTTTGCAACTTGTCGATATTCCTCAGTGACCCAGGCATGACTCCTTACATAATCACGATAATATCCTCTCCATCGAACTACTTTAAGAAGGTCACCACCCTCGAGCTCGGAGGACAACCTAGGGAGTCATTTGACATCAGAAACCTTAACAATTTTTTGCTCAATGGAGTACCTTTGCCCGAGAGGTTGCACCTGTCATGTATCCGTCTTCCTTGGTTCCTTATCAACATAGTGCCGAGACTTAAGTTGTCCGAACTCACATTCTACAAGACTGTCATCAAACCGACGACACTGTCAATGCTGATCAACATATCAGCTTTGAAGGTCCTAAAGATTTCGGAATGTGGAATTGAAACCAAGCGGCTGATTACCTGTTTGACGTTGAGGGATCCTACTACGCCGCTCACTTTAAAGACTCTGATGGTAGAAGCAAGGATTTTGTCGGATGACGACAATTTAGCCGAAGCTTTGGACCGTCTCCTGCTGAGTTTCGACACACTTGAGGAATTAAAGATAAAACTCAGGTGTTCTGAAATCGTGGTAGACCTTCCACAGGTTGCGGGAATTAAGAATCATTCGGCTCAGCTAAAGCGCTGTCTGGTCTCTGTCATAAGGGAAGACACTCAGCACCCAGTGTACTTCACTCGGAACCAAATCCAGGAAATCGTTTTGCACTGCCAAAAGTTGACGCAATTCGGGGTTGATCTGCCAAATATCAACTACATGGATTTTCGCGGAGCAGACTACTGGAACAATCCCGGATGGTTAAGATACCGATCTTTTCTGGTAAGTATTAATGATAACCGCATACTTGACATCGTTTTTGCTTTTGCTACTTGCTTTTGCTACTTTGGTTTACTTCACGCAGAAAACGATAGCCCTCTTGCCACTCCTAGAGACACTCTGGATTCTTACGGCACCCACCAAGTATTCGCGTCAAGACATCGACATCCGCGGTACTAACACAGCCCCGGAAGCTTATACTGGGCTGCGCGTCCAAGCCTACAAGGCTCAGATTGATGCATCCGCTTCTGGTGGGGCATTCGCAGACAACATTGTCGAGCAATGCGTGTACCACCTCGCCGCTAGGATCTTTGCAGAGCTCCACGCCTCGGATACTGTCGAAGTCATTGCCATTGGTAACTACCATTTATGGGAAGACGGCGATATACTTCTAAACTGCCCGTACCACTTCACACGCAGTGCGAAGGTGGTAAACCTCTCATCAATCCCTCTGGAAGATAGGATAACTGATGGTCGGGTGGTCAAACTCATTACCCACGATGATGTTCTCGACGGCGCAATTAGGAACAGACGTTTCTTCCTACCAACGTTGTCAACAAGGGCCGACTTGACTGAGCTTCGATCCTCTGCTCAGAAGGCCAGTGAGCTGATTGGTAGTCTGGCTTATGATTCTGATTAGGCGCCATATGTACAAAACAAGGACAGGAGATACATTGTATTTGTCGGATCTGGATCCAGCCGCAGCACAAATGACGCGTCAATTGACACATGGGGGAACGAAGGCAGCCGCACCTAGACTGGCATTACTGTGTTGGATACCCGTTGGACGAAGGCTCCTCTGCGAAACAACATTGGCTCATGGATTGACCTCATAGAATCAATCCAGATTATCTTGCCTGGCTCCAAAAGATTTCATGACGAACACAAATCCGGCATCAATATGACCTTTGGGTTCACTCCCCCTTCGACAGTGTGCCGCACCAGGAAGAATGTATAGTTAGATAAGAAACAAACCTTCCCTCTTACGCCTCTTCTTCTCTCCATCACAGTGACTTGCTCCAACGCAATCCATCACAAAACTACAACCTACATATCCACATACACTTAGCCATACTCCCTCCAACACCTCAAAACTAACCTCACAAACTTATTCTCCTCCATCACTGCCACAACCACTCAAATCACTCACAAATCCCCCCATACTCATCGTCTCTCAGCCCCAGCATACCTACCCCAACCCACCAACTCACCACATACAACCCACACCCCTCTCCACCTAAAACGCTCTAATCCCCTACGATCAACCCCCAACCACACCTCCCCAAACCCACTAACACCACCGCTCAGACCCTTAACCACAACCGCAAAGACTCTCCATGACTCCCGTATACCCATCCCGCCATACTCACCCTACCCCAAGACCACGGCCCCCAAACCCCTCCAATCAAAACCCCCCAACCCCCACAGACACAATCCCATGCCCTCCCCACCATCCCCACGCACCCCACCCCACAACCCCCCACGTCCTCCCCGCCGCCGCTACAAAGCGGAACCCCCCCTTCCAACACCGCCCTCAGCACGCACGAGCCCAACGCAAAAGCTTACACAGAGAAACGCCCTATGACGCATCCGGGGAACCGCGGGGCTCGTATTTGCAAGGCAGCCTGCATGACGAGATCTAGTCAGGCTGACAGGCTTGGCATGCAGGACAGTGCCGGACTACTACTGGCTGGAGGAGCACGCGCATGCTCATCTAGATATGTAGTAGATGGGCGGATGGGGCCGGCTGCTTGGTCCGGTCCGTCTGACTGTGGAGTGCAGGACGGAGAACGGAGAATGGGGTATGGGGGATGCGGTACAAGGCGAACTACCTACCTACTGGACCGGGACGCGATTCCTGCGCGTGTGTTCGCATTCGCATCGCCTGCGGCCGCCACGGTTGCGCACGGCTGAATAGTATCTGTCTGTTGAGGAACCTGTCTTGCGCTTGCACTTGCGCTTGCGTTTGCGCTGCGTTGCGCCGCTCCTATCCTATCGCATCCGGGCGTGAAGCACGTGGGTATCATTTCGTGGCTTGCGTCTGGCTGCATAACATACATGACATTCCGGGCGTGCAATCCTTCGTCCTTTCCGCGCGCGGCCGCTTGGCGTGCCGCACCAGCGCATCCTTCCATCCCCCTTTCCGAACCTTAAGCTTACCAACCTACTAAGGTTCCCCTAGTATCCCTCGGTTTCGGCCTCCTCTAGCTCCGCCTGCGCCTCGGCTTCGGGCGGGGGCGGTCCCGCCGCGGCCGCTGCTGCCGCGTTCACTATGTCTTTGGCGGCGTTGCGAGCGCCAGTCACGGCCAGCGCGTCTGCGGCTATGTTGCCCGGGTCGTTGGCGTGCCCCTTCAGCCATTGGAACTTGGTCTTGACGCCCGCGGCGTCGCGCTCCTCGAGGCGCGCCACGATCGTCTCGACGAGGTCTTTGTTCTCGACCGGCTTCTTGGCCGATGTGTGCCAGTTGTTCTTGCGCCACGAATGGAACCACACCGTCACGCAGTTGATGGCGTAGTTACTGTCGCTGTAGATTTGTACGTCGCGGTGCAGAGGCGCGATGTCGAGGGCGCGTTGGATGGCCGTGAGCTCGGCGCGTTGGTTCGTTTGGCGGGGCCCGACGAGGGATTCGGAAACGTTTCTGTCGTGTGTTAGTGTCTGCGGAGGGGAGGCGATTGTGTGCTATGCTGTGCTTACCTTGAATCCTGGGGTCCGAAGAAGACGCCTACGCCCGCGACGGCGCCAAGCGCACCATTGCCCAGCGAGCTGCCGTCAGTGTAGATGTTCAGCATGCCGCCTTTATCGCCAGTCGGCATCTTCTTCTTTGCGCTCAACTGCTCTTCCGTCTTGTATTCCACCTCGCCTGTCTCCGGGTTCAGCACGATCCGCGGGTCGAATCCATCTTCTGCGCCCTCCGGCAATGGACCGGTACCTGGGGCATACGGACCTTCGGGGACATCTGCCGCAGCCGTGGGCGTAGCCTGTCCGCTCTTCTTCTGCTTCTTTGCTGCAGGTGTCTTGACGCCCTTGTCTGTGACGTGGATGGTACTCTCGGAGCGTGAGTCCGCATCCACCGACACATTTGCGGCAGACTCGCCGGCAACTTTGCCATTGTCTTCTTTCAGGAAATTTTCGGCGTCGGCGCGTGTAGAGAACGACTTGTATTTCGGTCGCGTCCAACCCACCACTTGCTTCTGCGCCGAACCCCAGTCTGTGTAAACGCCTGGTACGCGACCACTTTGGACGGCGTAGAACTTGGCAGGCGTGGTTTTAGAGCTGGACCCTGACCCAGTCAGGAATGCATGAGCTTCAGCGGCGCTGCTGAAGGACTTGTCTATATAGGAGGGCGGGGTCAGCAAACAAGGCACCGTGAGAGAATTGAAACGAGGAGCAACATACAAAGAGCACCTTTGAAGCCCTTGACCTGGTTCTGACAGTCGTTCCAGTTGCCGTAGATGCCGGGCTTGTGTCCTGTCTTGACGGCGTAGAACTTGGGTTCGTCTGCGCGCTTCCTCTTTGTGCTGGACGAGGCATTGCTCGCGGCGGACTGAGATTTGGTGTCGTCGACGTCACCGGCTTTGGGAGATAGTGACATGGCGACGGGTACGTATCGGACGCGGATCCCGATGCGGTGGGCGAGTTGTTTGAAGTAATCGAGTCGACGGGCCCAAGGGTGGTACGCGAGGACGCGCGCGGCCACCTGCCTCCAGGGCAACAGTCCGCGAGAAGCTCGGAGGGGTTTAATGGTGGGGTCGATCCGACGAGACGGACGCGCAAGAGCGATTTCGGGACGCGGTGTCACAGAGGGAATTTTGCAGGCACAGATCACGGATGGTGGCCAGAGCACCAGAACTTCAATGAGACAGATCGTAGCCCCACCCCCGGCGTGCGGGAGGATTGATGAGGCGGGAGAAAACGGGCGAGCTATGGGCGACAGCAGGTCCGCGGCGGTGCAATCTAAAAAAACACTTAGTTACCTAGTGACGAGGCACAACGGACGACAAACAAAAAACGGATGGGCTTGGCATCGTGTAGCTAGAGGCTCGTGAGGCTCCGGGCATCCATGTCAGCCTGGCGTCGATCCGACTCCCACCGCAAGGCTGACCCGATCGCAGACCGCTCGACTCGACGACGAGCACGTCGCGACAGGGTATGTACGTGGTAACTACGTGGAAAGGCCCGCAGAGCCTCAACAGGCACTGACCATGATCCGTGGCGCCACGGTCGACTGACTTTACGTCTCCCAGGTTTCACCCTCTTCTCTCGATCTCTCGCGCAAACGCACCTCTCTCGGCCGCAGCCCCATCTAATCTCGCGCACTCTGTCTCCTTACCTTCGTACGACTGGTCTCCAGACTGCTCCGTCAGGGTTCCATTGTAAAACAGGGTTAAAGGCCGTAACTTCTCCACCCGGCAGCTATGTTCGAGGTCAGTTTCCCATGCTCCCGCCCGGCTTCACACGCGAGGCTCAAGAGCCACCACCGCAGGGTCGGCACGCCGCGGACCGGTATCATTTGCGCCTCCACCGCGCCCGTTCCGTGGTCCTGACGCCCGATGAGCTGGTCGAGATCCGCGCGGCGCAGCGCACCTTTGAGGGCGCCTACATCCGCACGGCGCTCGGGCAGTTTTCGTTTGCGCTAGTAGTGCTCAAGATCTTCACGGCAGAGTTCTATTCTATTGGGGCGCTGTTTGCCGTGTACGGCGCGGGAGTCTTGTTTACCAGCCTGCTGCGGCGGCGGCACGGCAACAGGCAGTTCTTCTCGGAGATGGGCGAGGATGGGCTGCACCGGCGAAAGTTCAGGACCAGCGGGAACATGGTGATGGCGCTGACTGCGCTAAGCGTGGCAGCGTATGCATCGCTGTTGGTGCTGACGCTGAGGCTATCGTCGTAACCTGTGGGAGAGTGGGATGGAGGGGAGCCACGGAGCTGAGGTCGAGCACACCTATGGAACGGGCGTGTGCGTGGATGATTGGCCGTGGCTGCTTTCGGAGTTGCACAGGCCCGGATTGCGTGAAATGGAGAGATGAGATTACTGGCAGCCCCGTTTGTGTGCAGGCTGAACATACGACGCGGCGGCAGATAAATTCTTTACGCGCGCGCTGCCCCCCCGAGCGACGCGACACACACATCGCTACCACTAGTCTCCAATCTGCAGCTCAACCAGCCTTAAAATCGCCGCCACCCCCGCCAAGGCTGCGTGACTCGTGCTTGCATCAGCTTTCAAGATGCCTCTTATAACGGACCACAGCCCGTCCCTCGCCCCGACTACCTTTCTCGATCCCACTCTACCCGCACACACCATCTCCTCCTCCTCCAGACCTCGCAAGCAGCAGTCTCAACACAGCAACATCGCCCGTTCCGTCCTGATGCAAAACATCCCGCCCCTCGGACTCGACGGCCACGTTCCTCCTCAACACTCTCAACAACAATCGCAACAGCCACGCCCCACTAACCCGCGCGCCGTCACCACCGCCGGCTATGAAGGCCAGGAACTAAAGCTCCCTCCATCCTCGGCTGCTTCGGCCCAGGTCCACCACGCGCTGGCCAAGGATGGCGTCGGCTACGCTTTGAGCGACACTCCAGACCCCACGGCGCCAAATAGCCCCAGAATGTAAGTCATTGCCCGTAAAGTCAGCCTCATTCCCACCATTACATCAAGCGGTATCGCGCTACAGACGTCACAGCCCATGGCTTGCGGCTGGGGATCGGCTGTACCCACAAAAAACTGTCGGCCCGATATTGCTCAGACCCTTCTTATCTGGCACTCTTTCAGTCTTTGCAGAAATGCCTTTTGTATTCTCAAGCTGACAATGGATAGCCCCCCGGTTCGTACCAGCTCTGCGAGCTCAACGCCGCGGATACGTCCTACCACCCTCGACATCCCCGGCCTCACCAAGTCCACTATCTCCCCCGATGGCCGCATCGCACAGCGCGACTTGGGCGCCAAGTTGCTCGTTGTCATGGTGGGCCTGCCCGCCAGAGGCAAGTCCTACATCACGAAGAAAATGGCCAGGTACCTGAACTGGCTCCAACACGAGGCTCGAATCTTCAACGTTGGTGAACGGCGGCGTATTGCTGCAGGAGGTGGCGGCACGCACAATCCCGAACCGCCGCCGAATTCGGACCAGAGAGCCAAGGACTCCGTGCGTAGGACGAGCGTGACGACGACGGCGCCTAATGGAGTCATCACCCAGAAGGAGCAACTGAACGCGCCACAGCTGGCGACGAGGATATTGGTCAACGGCCAGGCCGTGGCTCCTGATGAGAGCCCGTCTGCGTCTGAGAAGAAGGAAACAACAAATGAAGAGCCCAAGTTGGAAGTGCCGGACCAGAAGTTCTTGGAGGAATCGTTCCCCGAACTGACCAAGGCTTCTACACCGCAAGAGATGCCGGACACTGAGCAAATGGACCAATCGGCAAACTTCTTTGACCCCAACAATAGGAAAGCCGCGCTCATCCGTGAACAGGTTGCCATCGAGACTTTGGACGAGGCAATCAAGTACCTGACCGAGGGCACCGGCACGGTGGCAATTCTGGACGCGACCAACAGCACTCTCGAACGCCGTGCGGCTATCATGAGACGTGTGCGGCAACAGTGTGGCAACGAGCTGAACGTCCTCTTCGTTGAAAGCGTCTGCCAGGACGAACAGCTCCTCGAGTCCAACATGCGCCTCAAGCTTTCCGGTCCCGACTACAAGGACAAGGACCCCGTTGGCGCTCTGGAGGACTTCAAGAAGCGTGTTGCCATCTACGAGAAGGCTTACGTGCCTCTTGGCGAGTATGAGGAGAAGAACAACATGGCCTATGTTCAGATGATCGATGTTGGCCGCAAGGTTATTTCTCATCAGATCAGAGGTTTCATTGCTGCTCAGGCAGTCTACTATCTCCTCAACTTCAACTTGGCTCCTCGGTCGATCTATATCACCCGTCACGGTGAATCAATGGACAATCTCAACGGCAAGATTGGTGGTGATTCCGACCTGAGCCCCAACGGACACCGGTACGCCAGGGCCCTTGAGAAGTTCATAAGGTACGAGCGTGAGGCGTGGGACATTCGGCAGCGTGACAAGTTGTTGAATGCACACTTTCCTCCGCAGGCTGGAGACCAGTCACCGCCCAACCCCTACTTTATGAACGAGGAAACCCGCCCCGCCAAGAACTGCTGCGTCTGGACGTCGATGCTCAAGCGGTCTATCCAGACTGCCGAGTGCTTTGACGAAGACGAGTTTGACCTCAAGCAGATGCGTATGCTGGACGAGCTCAACGCTGGTTTCATGGAAGGCATGACCTACGAGGAGATCCGGGAACGCTACTCGCACGAGTATGACATGCGCAAGAAGAACAAGCTCCACTACCGTTATCCTGGCCCTGGTGGTGAGGGCTATCTGGATGTCATCAACCGTCTCCGGCCGGTCATTGTCGAGCTTGAGCGCATGACGGACCACGCCCTCCTCATCACGCACCGGTCCGTCGCGCGTGTTCTGCTGGCGTACTTCCTGGGCCTCGACCGCAAGGAGATTGCGGACATTGAGTGTCCGCTGGGCATGCTCTACATGCTGGAGCCCAAGCCCTACGGCGTCCAGTTTAAGGCATACCGTTACAACCCGGAGAAGGACTGGTTCGACTACCTGCCGGACTTCAAGCTCCGACCGGCTCCGACCGACCTCAGGAACTAAGGCTGAGAGCGCCACACCACACCGCCCTCGCCATGATCACTCGTTGCCCCTTGCCACGGCAACGCGCGTTTCGCACCCGACGCCTCCCGTCCAGCCGCTGACGGCATGGCGTCCGCCATTTTCGATTCGGCAATTGTCGTTCTTCAATTACATCGGTACTTACCGCTTCTCCTTTTTTCATCTCCGCCTCGTCACCGATTCGTTTGGGTGACACGGCCGAGAGTGTTTATTTCCAAGTACTGTCTGATCCTCCTGTATTGGTCGCTGTCTTGTTGTGTGTTTTGCGAAGCATCACGTCCCAGAGTTAGACCGTGGCTTCATCGGGCTTTTCACAGATTCTCCGGGGCGTTCTTGTACTCGCTATAGCTGGCCTGGTTCGTTGTTTCTGTCTTCCTCTCCCTTGGCGTATACACGGCCATGAGTTTGTCTTGTTCCGCTTGCTCTAGACGATAGGCTTCGGATGCATATCTGGGAGGCGTTATTGTTTCTGTTTCTCCTCGTCACGTCTCACACCTGTTTTTCTGTATTGGTTTTTGTTGTTCCTACTCTCTCATTCCTCCTCGCCTTCTGACCTGTTGTTTCTGTTGTCTGTTCGTCTGTTGTTGTTGTTGTTGCTGTTGTAACCGACCAACCGACTAGCTGGCTGGGGAGACGGACTGGGGTAACGAAGGGGTCGACGACAAGCAGTGTTCAGATTGCTTGCTTGTCCGCTTGCATGCTTGCTTGGTTCATATTGGCTGTTGTCGGAAACGTGGACGGAACGCGAAAAAAGGGGATTGCGGGCTGCTCTTCTTACCTATCACCACCCTGCCTGTTATCGTCAACGAGTACACGAATTTCGTTGATGTTTGAACACCGATTGTCTCGCGAGGAGTCGCGCTTTATCGCTCGCATTGTTGTTGTTGCTGTTATGCTCGTGTGTAGGGCACCAGCGCTGTCTGATTCCTGCCTGGCTTGTGTCGGAGCGGGTTGACTGAGCGGGCGGTCGGCTCTATTCTGTCCTGTCCTGGCCTCTTACCTAGCTAGCATTAGGCGCCTATCGATTGATATTTCTGGTACTGTGTTGTTGTTGTGCTCTGGTGAGGTGTGCTGTGCTGTATGTATGTATCTTGCGCTTTGCTGTATCTTGGGTACTGTGGAAGGGCCTTTGTGATGGGTGGGTGGGTGGATGGGTGAATAAGTCTCTTTCATCCACTCACTTACGCACTCACTCACTCACTGTCTGTTCCTGCTCTGTCCTGTTTCCCATATCTCCCTCTTCTCATGTACGCGGTAGGTACGGCGTTTGCTGGCTATAGGTAGGTGCGTAGGCGTATATACACAAACACAAACACAGACATACATCTACACGTAGTATTAGATGGGCTTCTATGTATGGAACTAGGGTTGTGTGTAGCTGTGACGCTGGTGGTGCTGGTTGTGGTGGTGCTGTGCTCTATGTACGTGGTATGTATGTAAGTGGATAGGTAGGTACGTGGTAGAGGGTTAGAGGGGTGGAAAAGTGTATATATGGTATAAAGCGCTTGCTTGCTTGCTTGCTCATGCCGCTAGGAAGACCAGATAAAGGGAAATGCAAAATGCAAAGGTGGCGCTGGATTGAAGGGGAAGAGGAGAGAAGCGAAGAGAAGAGAAAGGATAAGGTAGAGAAGAAAAGAGGAGAAAGAAGAGGAAGAGGAAGCACAAACAACTCAACCATCAACCACTTCCCCTATCATCATCCGCGCCGTCCTCCCTCCCACTCCCACTCGCACTCCCATCCGCACTCCCATCCTCACCCTCCACATCCGCCTGCCGCGTCCGCCGAGCCCGCTCGTCCGCCGCCCGCGCAAGCACTTCCCGTCGGCTCAGCGCCGGGTTGGCCAGCTGCACGTGGCCGGAACTGCCTTCGAGGGGGCCGCGGGCGGGACTCACATTACCACCACCGTTCCCGCTGCCGCTGCCGCTCCCAAGCACAAACTCGCCGCCTGTCCAGGCCCCGTGGTCGAAGACGTCGTTGCGCTGCTCGGGCGGGATATACGCCTCTGCAGCAGCACCACCGCTAGCGTCGCCAACAGCTCTACCCCCTCTCGTCCAATCCGCCCGCTCCACCTCCCCCTCAATCTGCCGACACAGCGCCCAGAAATTGCGATCATGGTCGCCCCACACATTATGCGCGAGCTCATGACACAGCGTTCTGCGAATCGTTTTATAATCGCGATACCCATCGCCAGCATCCGTGCGCAGCCTTAACTCAATAACCTCGCCCCTGTTCCTATTCAGCCCCAGCGTGCGCCCCTCGTGCGTCGTATGCGCCGCCGGATCCATCTCCGTCAGCAATGGCACGCTGAAGCGGTGCGCGCGCATCGCCGCCCGCACCCCCGCATCGTCGCGCAGCCGCTCCAGGAAGCGCAGGCTCCGCTCGGGCGCAGGCAGGTGCGGCAGCGGCCGCAGCACGTGGAACGTGTATGCTGCGTCGGCGGCGGCAAGCGCGCTGCCGCGTACGCCGCGGCCGGCGGTGCGCGCGGGCACGGCGGGCGCGACGGCGTAGTTCCGGGCTGTGCGTGCGGCGTGCTGCGCGGCGCTGTGCGAGACCCGTGTTTGTAGCGTGGCGATTTCGGAGGGCGTGCTGCCTATGAGCTGGAATTTGCGCGAGGCGAGCGGCAAGAGTAAGAGTGTGGGGTCTTTGAATGGTGGCCGTTGCAGACCGGGTTTCGGGCTTATGAGCAGCTTTTGGTGCGAGGGTGGGATGTGGAGGTCGGTTTCTATGAAGGTGGAGAGGTCCGAGATGGTGGCGGAGGAGGGGAGCGTGATGGCGTGGCGGGTGCCGTGGTGGGTGAGGGTGAGGGTTAGGGTGTCGGTGGTGTCGGTGGTCGAGGTGTCGCCGTCCATGGTGTTGGTGCTGGTGTTGTTGTTGTTGTTGGAGAGGGATTCGTGGTTTGCGTCTTTCGTCTCAGCGGTCGGTGCCATGGTCATGGTCGAGGCGGCGCAGCAAGGCTGGGAAATGCGGGTGTAGATCTGGCGGCGTCATGGTCCGGGGGGTGGCGCGCGGTCATGGATATAATATCGGAGTTTGAGCTCGCGTTCGCTCAGCTTCGGAGGTGTTCGCCTGTCATGCTCCCCTCCCGCCGCGTCATTTGTCATCAACTATCGAACCAAACACCTTCAACGCCACCACCATCACCACCACCAATACTGCTCTTTTTTGCTTTGCACAAGTAGTAGCATGTTATTTGCGCCAAACCTACGTGCCTATCCAGTTGTCCCCGTCCGTATTGTACCCAATCGCCAAATCAAAACGAGTGTGCCCAAAGGCTACTGCTGCTGCTGTCGCGGGTATCGCCCTAACGCCTCCCAATGCAATGTAGAAAAATGTACAACTTACGCCCACCGGCCGCCTACAGCATGCTTCGCTATGCATGCTGCAAACCCCTTTGTATGTTGCGGCCGATTCCCAAATAACCAACTCCCTCCAACTGCTCTCATGCCGTCTCTTTGCCTTCTTCTTCCTTCTCGGGCATCTTGACCCATTTGTTCAGTGCCGGGTCCCACTTGTGCCTGCTCTCACAGTCAGCCTCGTCCACGCTGGCACCCGGTACGTACTTACCCCTCATACTCCGTCTCCGTAAGCGACTTGGCCTGGTACTCCTCGATGAGCATCTTGTCGTATGCGTACGGTATCAGCGCCGGCACGCCCTCGTACGTGCTCCGCCGCATGGGAAACAGGTCGCTGGTGCTGTACTTGTGGTTGTTCTTGCAGCTCAACACGCCGGGGTTAGTGTCGGGCTCCGTCTCGCTGAGGCCCGTAATGTCAATGTACAGGCCGTTGTGCGTGTCGATCCAGCGCGCGTCAATGATGTTCATGCCGTCGCCCTTGACGCGCTCCCACTGCCACGGGTTCACGTCCAGCAGGTACTGGCGCTTGCGCGTGCCGTTGTGCGGGTCGTACTTCACTATCGTCCGGTTGTGGTGCTTGGCCATGTACGCCAGCGTCGAGCCCGCGACCTGCGTGTCCACGTCCCAGTCCCACGGCAGCATCGTGCCCGACCACCACCAGCCCAGCAGCGTCCCGTGTGCGATCCACGTCTCCAGACCTTCCTCGCGGAACCAGTCGAGATATGCCCGCGTCATGTGCTGGATCGTGTCTATCCTCTCGTCGTAGGAAACCACTCCCTTGAAGTACCGGATGTCGTAGTGACCGAGAATGTCATCGCCGCTATGGAAAAGGGTCACATCAACGGTGGTGCTCCTGCGCAATTGAAGTCACCTACGGCTTACCCAGGCTCATCTGCGGCGAGGTTAGCTGCTGGGTCGCTCGCGAAAGAAAAAAAAAACTGGGGAATGATCGTACGGAAATACTTTGTCGCTTCCCTGTCAGCTTGATCGTCCCTCTTCCTCGCTTCCGCCGGGACGGGATGCGCCAGGGTCAAGGCGAAGAAGCAAGCCGAGGCCGCAACGGCCGCGCAACTCAGAAAGCGCATCGTTGTACACAGGGCGTGCGTGAGAGAGCTCTCGAGAGCAGCAGCAGTACGGATTACGAGGTGGACGTGGCAGGCGGGCTCAGGCGGGAACGAGGTTGCGCAGGGCTGACGAAGGCCGTAAAGTGCGGAGAAGGCGGGAAGCAAGTGATTGGAGCAAGGGAAAAAAGGTCAGGATAAATGGCAGGGCATGGACGGAGTGGACGGAGTTGACGGCAAGGCAAACAAGCTCACTATCCCCACCGAAGGATACGGAGCCCTGGAGGGATACTAGGGTTCCGCAGTAAGCCAAGCATCATCCTGGGCCGGCTCGCTGGGGAATGGCCTAAGCAAGCGGGCAGGCGGGCAGGCGGGCAGGCGGACATGGCTTGGGGCGTGGCAGGGCAACGGCAACCCAAGCCAAGCAGGAGGTCGCGTGGGCATCGAGTCAATGGGATGTCGAGCGCGGCGCCATGGACCGACTCGGGCTGACACACGCCCCGACAGGCCGACATTTCCCACGCGACCGCCTTCCTCTTCTCGCCTGATGATTTGCCGCGATCCGATCAGCCGGGTTATTTTGGGTCGCTCGTTGGGCCTGCACGGCCATATTCCTCGTTCCCATTTTGCGTATTCCGCATCGTCCACCGTCTCCAATCTCGCTATTAATAGGTAGGAGTCACGCACTTTATTTGCACGGCCCAGCCGATCGAGGGGGGGAAGGATCTTTTAACTTCCTTCTCCCACGCTCCCTCCTCTCTCCTTCTCTCCCGGAGAAGCGTCCGATCTTGGCACCGCCCGCCCTTACGTCCACTAGCTTTGAGCTTCGGGAATGTGCAACGGGAACGAACACCACCACACGTCATGGATTTCGTGCTACTCGTGCTATCTACGCCTCCCTGCAGCAGCCTTCTTTTCGTCATCATCATGTCAAACGTAAAAAGAAAATGCCGGTATCTCTCGGAAGTCCCACAACAACAAACAAGCATGAAAAACCATGCAGTCGCTTTTAAAAAACAAAAACTTCTGATCAAATCAAACCCCATCTAGCTCTTAAGAATCTTCTCCAGTCCCTCCAGGAAAATGTCGGCGTGGTGCTTCTGGAAGATGAGCATCGGCCTCAGCCGGACCGCCGACGCACCGCTGCCACCGACGTTAATGCCCACCGACTTGGCCTTCTTGAGAATGTCGTCCCGACGCGGGCTGTCCCAGGCGATGAAGGTGCCCTGGCCCTTACCACGGAGGTTGAGGATTTCCTTGGGGTATTGCTGAGCCAGGCGTTCCACACCGTTGTACAGGTACTCTCCGGTGACGGCAGTGTTCTCGACGAGGTTGAGGCGCTCAATCTCTTGGATGATGGCGCGGAAGAGGAGGGCGCGAGCGGGGTCGCCCATCCAGGTGTTAAATTGGCGGTATGGCTTGTTGGGGCGCAGCTCATCGTTGCCGAAATAGTAGCCAGCGGTTTGAGCCTTCTTGGAAAAGGTCACCATGTCGGGAGGCTCAGACAGGTTCCAGTGCTCGTGTGCCCAGAACTTGCCAGTCGCACCAACACCGGTCTGGACCTCGTCAACGATCATAAGGACCTTGTGCTTCTTGGTGATCTCGCGCAGGCCGCGGAAGAAGGCAGGAGAAGCATGGTTGTCACCACCCTCAGACTGAATGGGCTCGATGATGATGGCAGCAGGAGGGTTGTGGTAGGTGGTGAGCAGGCGCTCAGTCTCCTCCAAGCAACGCTTCTCCTCCTCCGCATTCTCCTTGGCGTACTGGTCGAGCGGGTACTTGCAGCTAGGGAAGGGCGCCTGGGGCCAGTCGAAGGCGGGAATGTCAAGCTTATGAATAGGTTTGCTGCGGGTGGTGGACAAGGAACCGAAGAGACGGCCGTGGAAGCCAGCCTTGAAAGAAAGAATGGAGAGTTCTGGAGCACCAGGCTTGGCGTTGTTCATACAAGATTGCATCTCCTCCTCCGTAAACTCAACATCGGGTCCACCACGCTCCATGCGCCTCTTCCACATGAAGGCCGCCTTGTACGCCAACTCGTTGGCGTCGGAGCCGGACTGACCAGTGAAGACTTGGTTCAGGCCCTTCGGAGCAACCTTCAGTATACCAGTCTCAAGAATCTCTGCCCAGTCGTGTTGAGGGAAGTTGCCGAGCGCAGGACGGTTGATAATGGCGCTGGCCATCTCCGGAGAAGACGCAGCACGGAGAAGCGCTTCGTTGTTGTAACCGACGGGAATAGAGGCAATCTGAGCGTAGACGTCAAGGAGAACGTTGCCGTCCAGGTCTGCGATGCTAGTATTCTATCAGTCTGGGACCTTGGACCCATCACTTCTCATGCTTACTAGTTTCCATGGCTGTTCCGGTAGTCGGCCATCATGTTCAAGCTCCGGGTGTCAAAGACCTTGCTGAGCTTCTCGATAGCCTTTGAGCTTTCCGGACCAGGAATCTGGCACTTGAGCGTGGGCGCACTGGGCTCATCCTTAATGAACGGCTGCGTACTGGAAGCCAACTGTCTGCTGAAGGGCGTGGCGACAGCCGGTGCATAGCTGGGGCGGGCAACGGCCCTAGAGACTGTGGGCCGCAGCCTACTGGCGGAGCGGAGGAAAGACGACATTGTGAGTTGGAATTGGAGAGGAGCCAGGCTCTGCGAGCTTTGCGTCCTTCAAATATCTTGCTGTTGGCCGCGGACGAAGGGTGGGGTGGCGACGCGACGATGACGCGCTTTGGCGTCGGTTGCGGGAGCTGGGGGCCGAGGTGGTGAAGAGGAGGAATTCAATGAGCTCCACGCAGGGAGACGAACGGACTTATATGATGGAATCAGAGGAGACAAAGAAGAGGAAGGAGCCCAATGGCAGACAAGGGAGGTGTTGGCGACACCTTCCCATCCGCGCATTTAAAGGCGCTGGAGCTGCGGCGGGGAATGCCTATCGATTAGCAGGGTCGGCGGGGCGGCAAGGGCAAGCTTGCGCCCTTGACGCCGCAGCGGGCCCAAGCTTGTTGCGGGGGTTCGACACGAGGTCACTGCAGCGTGTGCGGCGGCGAACCAGCACATGATAAGACGACATCGTGACACTTTCCCTCCGGACCATTACTAAATTCCATGTTATGCAGCGCCGCCCTTGCGCGCCCTGCTGCCTGTCCACCCGCTCCTCGGGTCCAAGATACCCACGCCGTCCCCGCCGCCGCGGGAGATGCAGAAAATTACCATGGAAACGCCCCTTTGGCTATCAGGTCCCTGATGTCGACCGAAAACCCCCTTGATGACCTCCAAACAATGCCTAAGAAAGCTGAAGCGAATATTAGGCATAATGCCTTGGTCCGACGCTGGAAAAACCTCAAACCAACCCGCACAAAACTTCTATGCACTTGGGACTCCTCAGCCTCCAGCGTCTTGCTCTATGTCACCTACCATTAGCAATTCCCAACTGACGAAGCCGCTCTGGGTTCATGCCCTCGAATCTCTTGTCGTTGCCGTCATAGGAACCCGTCGTTGATGGGGTGGCAAGCTGCATCGGACTAGGGTGCCCATCCGCGCCGGATACCTCATCGCCAGATACCTTCACGGCTCGGTTCTGGTGTACGCTTCTCTCGTTTCGTGACTGTGCATCCGCAGAAGTACCTTCAGACGCGTCCTGGGTAAAAGAGTCGGAACCCGCTGCACTGCCTACGAGCTCGGAGCTCTCGATGGCATTGCCGTCTTCATCGAAAGTAGTTCCGTCAGTGGGCGGGGGCGGCGGAGGCGGGGGAGGCAAGGCAGTTTTTTGCTTCTTTGCCGATGACGAATCCTCTCCCTCCAGAGAAACCCCATTTGGAGTTTCGGGCTCCCTCTTGCGCTTGATGGCTCCTTCTCCCTGGTCTTCGGGCGATACCGATGGCGGAGAACCCCTTGCATTGTCCACCTCGTCATCTGAGATGTCAGCCATATCATCGTCGGCCGCCGGCTTGGCTTCATTTCTAATCGTGGGATCACCAGGAGGAGTGGTCGTTCCTGAAGCTTCAGCACCACCTTCACGAGGCTTCCTCTCAGTTCTCTTCTTTTCATGCTCCTTCTTTTTCATGACAGCCTTGTCAAGATACTCCTTGCAGTATTTCTTGACACCCTTTTCCTGCTTCTCGGAGATCTTCGTGGGATCCTGGACGCGACCATTTTTAAAATCGGAATTCACAAGCTTTTTGGAGATCTGGCTTGCGTCAGTTGTTAGGCTATCAATTACTCATACGAGTATACGTACCTCTTTTGCGAAGCGCTTGAGATCGTCCTTTGGCAGCTTGTGTTTAAACTTGTCGAGGACATATCTGATGTGTGGGAATATCTACATCGCATTAATACCATGCTGAGGAATAGACGGAAGACGACTCACAGTGTTCTCGTATAGCTTCTTCTGTTTTTCTTCGGGGTAGGATCTCCACTTTTCGGTACCAGACTTCTTCTCTCTCTGCGTTGAATCGAAGGTGGGTTGCGGAGTGGTCGATGTAGGAGTCTGCGTCTTGGGAGTTGTATTCTCCGTGATGCTGCGAATGATATCCTGCAACTTTTGCTCGTTCGTCTTCTCTTTCGGCGGCGGAGGGGGTTGCGCTGCAGGCACCGTCGGACGCTGCCAAGTCGTTTCACCGCTAGCGCTGTAATAATATGCTCGACCATTAGTCTGATCCTGGGCCATGAACCATCCGGGTGGTAGAGGATTGAACTGCGGAGCACGACGGAAGGGCCTGGGCGGTGGGAACGGTCGTGCGGGGAGATTCCCTGGGCGCCCAGAGGGTCCACGAGGGGCTTCAACAGACTTTGACCGTGATCGTGACTTCGAGCGATCTCTTTGAGGGCGGTCGTCGCGTTCAATACGTCTGTTGGTCTCAACTACGGCGTTGGGATCGCGCTTGACGCGGGGAATGCGGTACTCCATCTTGAGCTGGCTCCACTCATAGAGAAGTCTAGAAGCCTTGCCTTCGACCCTTTCGTCACCGCAATGTTTTAGCGTCTCGACGGTTTCCTCGATGTTGGAGTTTTGAATCTTATTGCGGGACAAACGCGGCATCCTGTCCAAGACATCGAGGATTTGCAGAGCAACATTGTGGTCGTCCATGAAAGTCGTCAGCGTGGTTTTCAAAATTTGATAGCCGTGCATCTTGATGACGCGGTTCCGTGCTCTCTCGTCATCGCAACGTTGGATGCGGCTCAGCAGCTTGACGGCAATCCATTTCTCCTTGCATTGCATTAGCGTAGCCATGACCTTGGTGACGCCGCCCTCGTCGAGAGACTTGGGCTCGACGTTGTTGACGTATTCCTCATCATCCTCTGAGACCTTCTTCTTCCGGGGCTTCTTCGCGACAGCAGTGTCCCAGCCGTCGGAGTCGTCGATGCCCAGGGCTTCAATCGTCGTAAGGGACAGTTTGGTTGCACGCTCGGTCTGAGTCTTTCCACCAATGTAGCCTGTGCAGTTAGGCTCGCCGCAGTAGCATGGCTGGGGGTCGGCACCATAGCGATCAACGTTGTAGTTGAAGACAAGCTCCTCGCCGGCTTTTATGTTGCGCTCGGCAAATATTCCCATGCGGAGCTTCTCACCAACCACCCATTTGTCAACATAACAATTGGGATTGCAAGAATGGTTGCAAAAGCGTCCGAGATTGCCTTTTTTCGTCGCATCAACGAATTCGCCTTTGCTGAGTGACATGAAGTAGAAATGCTTAATGCCTTCCTCATCGTACTGAATCATGCGCCGACGGAAGGCACCCTCATTAATGACTTCTCCGATATATTCAAAGATGAAGTCGTTTGGGTACAGGTCGGTATTCGCGCGAAGGCCGTAGCCTTTTTGTTCTGTTTTGATGACGGTAACGTTGGCATACTGTTTCCTGAGGAATCGTTGGTTTTGGCATTTCGGGCCGCACCCGCAATCCCCGGCGCACTCCATCTTCGTCGCACGGTTGATGCAGTCGGAATCTTCGCCACAGGCCGTGTTGTTTTTGGTCTCGGGGTCTGCGAGTATCGTCAGCATGGAGAGAATCATCGAGGGCACTTTACGGCCTACCCCACTCCTCGACGCAGTCGCACTCCAACGCGTGCTCGGTCGAACCCATGTACTTGTTGCCATAGGTGCAGGCCGCAATCACCTCGAAACTGCCTATGGCTTCTTGCGTCTTGTCCTCATAGTGCGAGAATAGTGGTGGTGGCCGCGACACAATCTTCTGCGAGATGCTGCGCGAGAGCTTCGGAGCCTTGCCGGGTTCTAACTTGACGGTGATGTCGCCACCGACCATCTCCTCGCGCTCAGCATCTTCCGAGGATGACCTGCTTTGCTTTTCCATCATGGCCGGTGACTGTGTCCTTGAAGCGGCTGGTGGTTGGAGTGGCGTGGGTGAGCCAGTCGAGGCTGGCTGCTGCTTCCCCAAATCCTGCGACTCCGTCTCCGGGTCCGCGCCACCAGGGCCGACGGGGCTTTCGGCCTCGAGCTTCATGTCGCGCACCTCGGACTCCAGCTGAGCCGACTTGCTCTCGGTTCCGGCGTCCGACATGGCGTGCGTGTGTGGTCGTGGAAGAGGCGGGTCGACGGCGCGGGAGAGATTGTGAAGGTGGACGAGACACGCCCCAAGACCTTCAAGCACTAAGCGATTCCGTACCTATACAGACGTTGGCTTGCAGCAGCATGACCATCCGCCACACGTACGCCCTTGCGCGCCTAACGCCTGGAAGTATCTGCGCCGCTGAGATGCTCAAGGGCTTGCCGGGTGCCGGCGAATTGATGGGGACCGGCTGGGCGTTTGCGCGGGCCGGGCTGCGAAGCGCGAAAAGGAGCGAGCGGCGATAATAATGACGGCGGACTGCCTCGAGGCGGGAAGGCTTTTTTTTTGCAGAGGGAGAGAGAGACTTGCGCAGAGCGGGTTCGAGGCGTGAGGGATAGAGGGCGGCCGGGGGGTTTGATGGCGCGGAGTGTGGAATGAACGGCGGCCTTGGGGTGCAGCAGGACGGGCGACGGCCTTTACGGCATGGTACCTATGTATGTAGGTAGAGTCGCGCGGAGACGGAGGAGCGAGTGGGCTGCAGGGCAGACAGGAGGGACTTGGTCGCGGTCTCTTTGTGCAATCGCAAGTGGCAGCTTTCGCGTTGCCAAAGGGCGTCCGACGAGTAGGTATGCGACTCAGCAATGAGGCTCTGCCAGCTTAGCTCGGCTGGAGCAGCTCGGCAAATCCAACGTACATGGCCCGGCGCGCGAACAGAGACAGGGTTTCAGGAATCAGAATCAGAATCACGGCATTTTGTTTGTTTCTAGAAGGCATGTGCCTATAGTTACGACACACGCACGATGGATGGGCGCCAGCTAGAAGGCTTGGTCGACCAATGCGACCAGGTGCATTGTTAAGGACAAAAGTAAAGGCTGCAAGGACTCTTCGGCTTGAGCCGCGGGGCAGGTAGTGGTTGTGCGACGTGGCTCCGCAGGCCGCAGGCCGTCTGGGGAGCCGGCGGCATCGCGTCGTGTATAAGAGCAGAGAAGAGCCACTCGTTGTTTTGGCAGCGGGCGCAGCGGCCGTCGTCTGCCTCAGGCACATTCCCTGCAGGTGCATCTGTCAAACCATGGCACGACGGAAATAGACGCCGGGCGCGTGCGACAGAGGCCCGCGGAGCACGGGGCAGAGGCTTGGGTCCAAAGCGATCTGGTGAGACGCGCGCGAACCGGGGCATCAAGAGTCTCGAGGCCTCAGACAAAGGCCCGCGATTGGACCCGCGCCGAAAAGAGGGTCGCAAGGTCGGACTCGACTCTGCTGCGTTTCGTCGCGCATTGCCCGAACGGGCGACGATGGAGTCGACCGCGCGACATATGCACGCCACGCGCTGCCTAGGGGACCATCCATGTCTGTTTCCTCTGCTCGACTCCCTCTCTGCTTTTGTCCTGCCGACATCATGAATAGCCCGCCGCCGCTTCTTCTCCCTGGCCCGTAGGCATGCCGCCCGCCTTGACACCACTCCTCTCAAGCCCTCAAGCGGCCGTGCCTTCGCCTTTTACTCGTTTGGCCCTGCTGCATTGGCCCCGTGTATGGGCGCCTTTCTCGACGACCGACGTGCCACCACCTTTTCCGCGCCATGGAGCCCTCGAGGGATGTCCCTTGGGCCGAGCACGAAAAGGTATTTGCTGCCACAACTGCCTCTCCGCCCACCACTGACCCCTCAGCTCTGCCTTCTCACCGAGATCATTAAGGCCTCCCCCGTCTCCTCGGACGCCCTCTTCCACTTCGTCCGCGCCCATGGCATCCAGCCCCGATGGTTCGACATGGCCCTTCCCCAAGGTACGGACGTCTCGCTGAGGCACGCGCCGCCGACTAACGTGACCGAACAGGCCGCTCTCTCCGCCAATGCCAGGCTGCCTTCCAGGACATCTTGACCAGCAATTCGGCGGACCCTCGAAGTGCCGGTCCCGTGCAGTACCATCATCAACCACCGCCCATGTACGCTCCTCCTGTTGAAATCCCCAGAAAGCGCCCACTGGCTCCAGACGTCGTCAGCACCCCCACCGGTCGCCTGCTGCAGCCGCGCCCTCCCAACGCGTACCCCGCAGATGCCGTAAGCGGTCTGCCGTACATGCTGTCGCCCACAATGGGAGAGTCGACGAACAAAAAGCGCAGAGGCAGGCCGACAAAGGCTGAGGCGCAAGCCAGAGCAGCAGAGGCCGCCGCGCGCGGTGAGCCTTACCCGCCGCCGAGAACAGGGAAGCGCGCGTCGCTGCAAGCCAGTCCTGGTCCCCCGGCGCCGGGCCATATGCCTGTTTCGACCATGATGCGCGCGTCGGCAGGGTCCAACGTCGAACCCGCCAGCCCCGACCCTGATTCGACCAGAGAGAAGCGCGCGACGCCCGCCAACGAGCATGACGAAAGGCCCGGAGATGCCACCGCTTCGCCTACTGTCGCCGGAGCTCAGCAACCGCCTGCAGAGAGCAGCAGAGGCCCGGCATTCACTCAACCCCCGCCTGCCGTTGCGGTCAACTCGACAGTGAACAAGCCCGAGGAACGAGTCGTGCGCCCAGAGCCAGTAGATCAGTATAAGCGACAGACGCCGACGCCACATTCGTTTAAAGAAACCGTGGGTATATGACAGCCGGAGCGGCTCATGCAGTTCCCAGAAGTACAATGGAAACGAATTGATACGACACCAAAACGAACCGCAGCATAACGCAGTTACGACTGGAAACGAAAGAGAGAGTGCACCTAATGCCGAACGACCGATACGCCTGTCACGCCCGCCACGCGGAGGTTTTCCTGCTATTATTTTCTGCGAACGAATCCTCATGTTCCCTAGTATCCCTCCCTGCTCGTCCCACAACGACGACGGCTACGCTCTACGCCTGCCGCCGGCGCCTCTCCATCACCTAAACCCTTTCCTGCATTGAGTTTTCCTTGGCTAGGATTCCCCTTACGACATGACTCTCTTTGCCGTCCATCACGAGCACCATGCCGCCACGGCCGACAGCACCAGTAACCAGCGCGTTCTAATGTCTAAGTTATATTCTAGCACAGCCTTTTTACTCTCGATCTCCAGGATACACCACTCTTTTCACTTGCAACTTCCACGTCTGCCGCGGCTCGCGCTGCGGCCTTGCCACCTTTCTCTCGTCTGTACCGCGCGCATCGTTATCTCACGCCTATTTGCCGGTACTTTTTATTTTTTGGTGTAGGCACGCATGCCGACTGCTCGTCCCTTGGTTTCTTGTTACTTCTGTCTCTGTGTCTGTCGCTCTCTGCCAGTCTTTATTCAGCTAGCATCCGCGCACCGCGCATTTTGTAGACCTACATACACACCGCATGCATATCTACTACCATACATTTCTATCTCTCCTCTCATTTGCTCACCATCTCTGCACCTCATTCTACCCCCTCTTTCTCAATTCATTTCAGCAGATTACGGGCTACATGCTCAGTGACAGCGTTCGTCCTGGTCTATTGTGTCTGACCTGAAGTAGCCGGTCTTGCGCAACATTTCTGTGTCGACAAGGGTGCGCGCATACTTACATATCTAGGTAGATGGATGACTATATGCAACGTCAGCCTTGTCCATCTCTTGCCTGCGTGGAAAAATATGCGCATGATACGCCGTCTCCCGATGCTCGAAACCTGAAGGAGTGAGTATTTTCATGAGAATGGGACTGAAGGCTCTCGCCGCGCTATACAATGGTCGGAGGGGCAGACGTTGCCATGTTTGTATACCCCTCATGAGCAACACATCTTGACACGAGCGCGGTCTATATCTACCTGTAGAGTGATCCAGGGGGGGGGGGGGGGGGGGGGGGGGGGGGGGGGGGGGGGGCGTTTGAAAGGTACCACTACCTCTCGAGAACAATATCGCTAAATACGTGCGTAGCCTCTAGATATACTACGGAGTTACCGGTAGGGGGCGTTTTAAAGACACTGCAACTATATTTACATGTTCCTACTAGTTACGAACGTAAGCTATGGATCTACGTAGGAAGTAACCATAAGGAGCATTCTCATCTACACACAGGGGCATGTAGGCATGGTTGATTTCGTGTATGACCGGGAATATGAAGGTGACGGTACTTCGTCCTGCGGACCAAGGACCAACGTTCGCTACCAGAGGAGGTTGACGTGGATGACTCGACAATTCTATGGTTAAGCCACATAGGTACGGTTCAGCGACGTAGGTGCATTAGTCAAACCTTTAAGTGTAAAGGTGGCCAGTCAGATGTTGAATTCGGTTTTCTATATAAGTGAATGAGCAAACGCACTTCCCGGGCAACACCCACTTCAAACATCAACGAACAAATCCACTTCTCTGCCAACAATTCTACTTGAAACAAAAACCTTCCAACCACCAAACCAAACCAAAATGGCACACTTCGACCACGACGACACTGAGCTCATGTTCCCTTTCGAGCGCGTGCCACGAGCGGCAAAGAACTTCTCGCCTAACACAGCATACCCGACACTTGGAGACAACACTCCAGCCACTGCTCAGCGAAAGGCAGACGCCCCCACAGAAACCTTCCGACCCACGCAAGACGAGTACCCCGTCTACTACTTCTTCTACGGAACGCTCGCAGAGCCGCAATGGCTTAAACGCATCCTGAACCTGCCTGAAATGCCGATCCTCAAGCGCGCTACCATCCACGGCGGCACACTCAAGATGTGGGGCCCGTACAAGGCCTTGATAAACGGACCGGAAACTATCCAGGGCTGGGCGTATCTGGTGCAGAATAAGAAGCACGAGACCAGGCTTTGCGAATACGAGACCCCGAACTATGAGGTCGTGAGGTGTAAGATTAGGTTTGAGGAGGAAGGCGAGGTTCCGGGTTGTGTGTTTCGCTTTGTGGATCAGAGACAATTGCACTGAACGTTGTTGTCGATGGGGGCCTTTTGGTGTTTGTTTTAAACCATGATGACGAATAATGCTACATAGCGTTAATAGCAATGATTGAATGTTGCTAAAGAGACATGATCCAAGCACGTCTATGCTGTCAGTGACTCCTCTGCCTGAAGGATCAAAGTCAGTGAGCCCATTGTGATGACGTTGTCAATGTGCAGTATTTGTCACGAGGCTTGCGTCGTAGGTCTGTATTCTGCGCAAGCGTTAGTGAGGACTGTTATCCGAATTAAGTAATAAGCGCGTATGTAGGACAAGCAGTCACGGTTTCCCGCGAATAAGTGCGTTTTTTTTTTTTTTTTTTTAAAGCTGCCCGAGTACCCAGTGCATCTAACAACACATTGCAGGATGCTGTCCTTATGAGATTGAGTGGCAGTTTGGTTAGCATGAAGAATACAAGAGTCAGGTGGTTTAGTAGCCACTCTTAAATGTTCCTTGTTACTGGTTTCGAGGGGTAACGGCCGAAGATATCTTGAGTCCAATTCCAGCTTTGTCCAATGATGACGAACATCGAGAAACGATATTGATGGAGGGTACCAGAATAGCTTAAAGGTAGATAACATCACTGGTGGTGAACAAGATGTCAGTGAGATTGAGAACCTTTACGATAAAGTTTTCTCGGAGGCTGTTGTAAAGCTTTCTCTCCACCCGGAGGCGGTTGAACATTTCCTTGTCTTCTCAGGATGAGGAAGGAACACGCAAATGGCCGGTTTCGAGCCACAGCGTTGGTTGTTCTCGAATAACCCACTGGGGAAACTTGCGAAGCAAGTTTGTAAGGCCTTCGGGCTTGAATATTTGCTTGAGAATTTTTAGTGCTATATTTTTAGTATTTCCGCTTCCCATATATATGTACCTTAACTCTCTGGTTTACTTACGAAGGCCACTGGATCTCTTTTGTTTTCAATATCTGTAAAATGGAGGTGCTAGCGTCCTAGCTAAAGTAATGTATAGGTTTATTCAACCAGCATGTTTAGTGGGAATGTTTCTCAATTTGTTTACTTTACTTTCCTTCCCTTTCTTATTAGTAGCTGGATTCTTAGAGGTTCGAGGAGCTGTGTACGCACAAACTACTCCGATAAAAGACCCTTTGTATCAACGCAGTGTGTAACAACTGCTAAGGCGAAATCGTAAGAGCTGTTAGTAAGCATAACCGCGGTGTCGTTCCACTGGCTTGTAAACCGCGGGCTATAAAAAGCAACCTATGGACAGGATAATGACGACGTGTTTACTTTCAGTTGCTTCCTAATGGTAAGGTCTGAAAGACAACGATCACGAACAGCACCGTAAGGGCGCGCGACCATTCCCAGACATAATGCGCCTCTTGGCCATTCCACTTCTACTCTGTTATCACCGCGTAGGATTGATGAACCAAACCCTGAACCATCGGTGACGCTCACCACCAGCACCCGTCGCTGTTGTTATAGCTTGTCACGCCTAGCCAACCTCTTTAGACAATTCCGAACCGCCTCGGATACTAATTAATCGACATTAAAGTCAGCATAGTATGCCGTGGCCTATATCGTGCTGCCCCGACGCAGTCACAACCCTCTGAACTTGAGCCAGCTTTGATATCGAACCTAATCTGTAGGTAGTTTGTTTGTTTGAGGACGCGAAATATGAAGTCGGCCAAGCGGTGCTCTCCAGTAGCTGATGTAACATTTGGCCAGGGGCATTCCTTTGGCAGATTAAAGGGTTTGTGATAAGATCAGGTTTTATTTTACAATTCGTGGTACATGCGTCGAGGTGGTTAGTGGTGTGGTGAAGCCAGGCGGTCAGGACAAGACATGACTCGTCAATATCCATGACGTTGACCCCAGCAACCGGCACCCCGGACAACCCTCCGGACGAGGTGGCCTGAGCTCCCTGGATTGTTGATCTCGGGAATCTCCATTCTAATAAACCAATCACCCAACTACTATCAAATAGAGATGAGCATCTAATACCCCGCAAAATGCCACGATTATAACAAGCAATATAAACAGCTACCCAGCAGGAGTGGATGATGAGACCGAGAGAGACATCCTACAACCGCTGATACCCATCATGTAAACCTTCACATGGGAGACGTTGATGGATTTACACGATCAATTTAGGAGCTATCTCACGCCTCATCTCCGGAGCTAATGTAACCGGATGCCTCTCTTCTTCTGGCTACATGAAACCTCTATTATCAACGCCTTCATCATCTCAAGAACCCTCCTGCAATTTCAGACGCAACAATCTCACACGCCAGAGCGACCTTCAATCAGCTAGCACACACCCTCGCAATACCTTCGCAACTGCCAAATGGGACGAAGGACAATATCCGCAAGCACTGCAGCTGGCAACACAAGAAAGGATACCTGAAGGGGAACATCTTCGTGGACGATATCACTGTGGACGGCCCACTGCCACATTGTGATAAAACCGAACCCCTGGAGCCACCAGGTATCCGGCGCCATGTTGCTGAGCATCTTCAGAACGTTGATCTCATTCTCGCTGGTCTGGAGCGAGTTGGATTGGCTGCCGTGACCAAAAAGGGTTGACAAATATAATGGAACCAAAAATCGCCCCAAGCGCTCAAGCTACTACGACACCATGAAAACTGTAGGCACCGGATATTCACTACTACAATCAACTCCGCTGTCACGGATTACCGGCAGAACTACCTACTACTCGCGAGCGCACGAGCGCACGTTGAGCACTTTGTCCTCTCTACATGGACAATTACTTCAACAACAGAGAAGGGTAGCATCTACCTGGACAACATCCCGCCATTGCGGGTACAATTGCGGCACCGTCCTGTCGGATGAAAGATCATCCACAGGGAGGACTTTCTTGTCTTTGGTTTTGTACATTGTGTAGGCGGCTGCTCCAGCCCCGGCCCTACTGTAGGGTACACGGCGCTGGGATGAGGGCTGAAGACGCGGGTAAACGACAACGACATTACAAACGCCTACTACGCGGCTTCATTCATCCCTCGCACGCGATATTCACGGGCCTCGATTCTACAAACAGTTAGTTGAAACAGTGGGTGACAACCTCGCCACGGAGGAGTGGCTTCGCTGGAGGTGTTGAAGACGTAACGAATAAGAGCTTGACTCTGTTCTTTTGAAGGGGGGTGTGCATTAGGATTATTTCTATATCTTTTGTTCTAGCCGTTTTCGTTAATGTCCGTACTACGTAAGCCCGCCTGATGGCGAATGCGCGCGCACCGCCTTGAGAGGCACGCACGCGCGTTGCCCGTCCGTATCATATCGTCTGTCTCTGCCATCTGCTGGCCTTGGCCATGCGAGGTCGGGTTTAGCAATAGCAATTGCATGACCGTCTCGCTCAACCCAATCCCGGAATCTCGTTGAAAGCACGTTCGCATGCACAGTTCTGACCGTGCTGAGAACCTTGTGTGGGCATCGCTACTGGACAAGCGCACGGCAGAGGCCCACTATGTGAAACCTGTGGGAGCCAGATCGCTGTACGATGCTAGAGCTTGCCCGGGACACAATGCTGGCGTCCTTCAGCGACCCGGCATGCCTCATAGCCAACCGATTCAGATGTATCCCGCCGTGTCTGTTCCGAACGCTTCGCACTCCTGTCTATGCCGCAAAGCCCGCCAGCGCGCGCTCGCTCTCCGTCAGCGGCCACAGTAGGCACCAGAAGCCGAACGCGCCGCCCACCAGCAGCGAGTAGTACGCGACGGACCAGCCCCAATCGGCAGCGGGGAGCTTGGGAGAGCGAGAACGCGGAGCAGCGGCGGCGGAGCCGTCACTGTTGCTCGAACTGTCGACATCCGGAGGCCCAATGGGCACGCCGGGCTCGACGAAGAACGGGTCGGGGTCTGGGCGGACGCGGCCCCAGAAGCGGGGCAGGCCTTGCCAGTTGCAGAAGGCGTGGGCGACTATGGCGGCGTAGACGGAGCCGGTGCGCAGGAAGATGAAGGACGCGAAGAAGCCGAAGAGCGACGTGTAGGCGAACTGGAAGAGCGAGCGCAGCAGGGCGGGCAGTGCTGCCGTGTGCGGGTGCGTCAGCCGGAACTCGTAGTAGTGGTGCACGTGCGCAATGCCGAAGTAGAGGGGCGTGGTGAAGACGAGGGTCGTGGGCGAGACGCGGGCGAGCAGGTGCAGGGGAATGATGAGGGAGCGCCAGACGAGCTCTTCGGTTATGGGGGCCTGTGGAGAGTCGGTCAGCGGGGTGGTGAGATAGGGAGGAGGGGTAGCGTTGCAGTAGCATACGGCGATGTAGTTGCGCCATCCGATCCAGCTGCTGAGCGACTCGTTGAGGCGGCTGAGGCGGAGCCACTCGCGCCACTCGCCGTACACGACGCCGTACTCGAAGAGCGGGCCGGCGAACAGGACCGTCAGCAGCAGCAGGACCTTGGCGATGTCGTCGACGGGAACAGGCCACCAGCCCAAGTGCTCGAGGGCTTGCAGCGGGCCGAAGCCACCATACTGCACGAGCACGAAGAGGGTGGTCAAGGTGCTGAGGATGCACGCGGAAGTAACGGCGCGGATGCGGGCACGGATGACGGATGGCGCATCACGATGGAGGGTGGGCGAGGGCCGAGTCGTCTTTGAGAGATAGTACGGAGCGACGTAGATGACGGTGAAGAAAATGGACAGAGCCGCGGCGGTTCGTGGAGAGATGGGCGGGCCCGAAGCAGGCACGGCAGCTGAAACATCGGGGAGGGTTAGCGACGCAGGAGACGACGGGCGGCTGGGCTGGACGCACCGTTGCTCAGGCGAGTCCTGAGACGTTGGAGAAGGAAAGTAGGCGCCATGACGGACTGGGGGTGAGCGACCCGGCCGTCTTATTTAAGCGTGTTTCGCGATGGCTGGATGGCTGAGAGGGCTTTGTTCCGGCCGGTCGCTTTCTCTCTTGTACTCGTAGGTAATCCGTATCTCCCCCCAGACAATGAGGCTAGAGGGCTAGAGACAAGCCACTTTCTGGAAAAAAAGGCCGCCAGCGACGTCGGTGCAAACAATCAATCGATAATCTCGCACGCGGCCGGGGCTGGTCCCATGTCCTCAAGCCATCAACAAATCAAACCGTGATGGCCGCGCTCCCTCTCTTACATCCACTTTCTTCTCTGTCCTTTCGGTCCACTCCACCCTCGAAGCTGCGCTGGCACTGCAGTCCCGGGCCTCGACTCCGCGTGTGCATACCCGAGCGCCGCTGCAGCTGCAACTTTCCGCTTCGGTGACGCCGCATGCCTCCTGAATCCTCATAGCCAGACGCTTCCCGCTCGTGCCCGTCGCTGCAAGAAAAAACTCGTCCGCTCTTTTTTCACCACTACCGGCATGCCGTTGTAGTAGTAGTCGTCGTCTACTTTTCCTTGCCCGTGGCTTCGTATTGCTATCTTTCGACCAACATAGCCCACTGCTGCTCCCCAGCCCCCCGCCGCTCTTTTGCATCACCACCCCCACCCGCACGCTAATTTAATGTCTCCACGACTCGCTCCTGCACCCGATCCATCTCTTACATATACCTGCGCGACGCCCTACTACTAGAGGAGGGCCATGTCCTCCTCAGACAACCCCGGGGTCCAGCTGCCGTCGTCGTCCAGGCCCTCGCCGTCGCCGCGCTCGCCGCAGGGCCGACGACGGCCGTTGCAGGAGCGAACCACTCCGCAACCTACGATCCGCATTGTCGGGGACTCAGATCCCAAGACGGCCTACGACAAGTCGCCCTTCCCGTCTCAGCCCTCGCACATACTGTCGCCGTCGCGTTATGGCCAGGGTTCGCATACCAACGACCAGGGCCATGACGTTTCAGCCAGCGACTCTCCCGCCAATCGCCCGCGTGCCGTCTCGCAGCGCGTGGCTTCCATGGTGGCCAACTTCGAGGCCCTCACTCCGAAAGCCCTCGAGCCCCGCTCAAGCAACCGCAATTCGTCATCCACCAAGAACTCCAGGAATTCCGCTGCCAGCACACTCACTCTTGGCGCTCCATTCACACCCGCCTCCAGCCGCTTCTCCCAAGGCACCACCCCGCCCACTTCCCCGCTCTCGAACTTGAGGCAAAGCAAGCACGACAGCTTGGCCAGCACCAACATACTTAGCGCCTTTGAAGACGACGAGGACGACCAAGCCACCACTCCCACTGCTCCCACTGCGCCCGCCGGTCTCGGTTCGCCTGCTCCCATCGCTCCCGTCGCTCCCGCCGCAGCCACCATCCGCCCCGTTATTCCCTCAGGATCCTATCCGGATCCCACAAAGTTCTCGCAAGATCCTGAGCCCGAAAACGAGTTCGCACGGCCCGTGTACCCGTCTGCGTCTACAGCGCTGACCGAGTCGATACGCCGGCCTTCGGAAGCGTCGACTGCAGACTGCAACAGGACATACAGGACTTCGGATACTCCCACTCCTCCTTCGTCCGCAGCGGATGGCAGTTGGCTGTCGAGAGCCTGGGAGTCTCTCTCAATTGCGTCCGACGACACCGCGATCTACCGCAAGCCAGCGGGCCACCGTGACTTTTCCGGATCGACGGTCGAACGTCGTCCGCCTGAATCCGAGCCTCATACGTCATCATCTAGTTCGCCTGGCGCGCTCAGTGAGTTTAGTGTTCCTAACTCGCAAAAGACCACGGTCCACCACCCTCGTTCCCGATCCGATCATCTTGGCTCTACGAGGGTATCGAACGAGTCTCTGTACTCTCCCCCGAGCACTAGGGGAAGCAACACCCACTCGCGGTCCTCTTCCTCGCCCGCTCCTAACTGGAGCTTGCACCCCGCGCTGGAGGTGGACGAGAACGGTTCGCCTGATTCCTCCGTCGTCCCGCGCCCGTCCTTAAACAGCCCTTGGGGTGAATCGCGGCCTCTTCCGAAGAACAAGACCCGTATGCAGGGGCGAAGTGACAATTGGAGCTCGAACCTCTCGACGATTGACTCGGCATCGGAACCGCGGACCTCGCAGTCGCTGTCGAGCACTCTGACGCTAGGCCTCGGCGGTCATCGCAAGAGGCAGAGCCTCGGAAGCATTGACTATCTGACAAGCGGTGCCGAGCCTACCCCGTCGCCGGGAGATCACGCCAACCCCGCCGCTCCTCGCTTGATCATTCCTTCGGAAACGCAAACTCGGAGAGACAAAGAACAACATGGCGAGGGAGACGATACGCTTGGAGAGCTCAATGCTCTCCCGCTCCGCTCTCAACGTTCCGGGTTGCTCCGCACACTCTCTCTGGATTCCTCGCGTCCCAGTTCCTCTCATTCGGCCCGCAGCTCGTACACGACCCACTTCCTTGACACCGTCCCAGCATGGGCGAGGTATGCATCATCGATCCTGTAATCTGACCACCAACTGACAAAACGCAGGGAGTACTACCGTAATGGCCTGGGCGAACGCTCATCTTTCTTCGCCCCCTCTTCTTCTAGCGGGGCCTCGACTCCCCACCTTTCGCGTGCGAACACCGTAACTAGCGGCAGCGCCGACAGCCGCTCACCCACCGAGTACAACGTTCAGCAAAACGTTTGGCGTCCTCGCAATCGGCCTTCTCAGTACGGAGAAAGAGGATCGCCAGTTTATATGTCCCGGAAACACCGCCGCAACAACTCTTCGCAGCCTTCCATCCCCATCTCTGAAATCTCTTTCCAACCCGCCACCCGAACCTCTACCCAACGCTCCCCCGAAATGGGCCGCAGCGCAGAAGACCTGCAGGCCATGCCGCCGCCCGTCCCCGCCAAGAACACGCCCAACCCCAACACGCACGGCAACCACCGCATGAGCGTACGCGACGAGCACTCGAAGCCGCCGCAAACGCGGCAAAGCATGCGGTCGTCGCTGATTCCGCGCCTACGGCCCGCGAACCGGCGCAGCACGGCACGGCTCAGCGTGTGGACGGTGCCTTCGATCAGCGAGCCGCTGGGCACGCTCTTCTTCGGCGCGCACAACCGGCAGCTGCTGCTCTTCTGCGTGGGGTTCGCGGTGCCTTTGGCGTGGATGCTGGCGGCTGTTCTGCCGCTGCCGCCAAAGCCGGCGGCGCATGATTCGGATGTCGAGAAGGGCAAGGCGAGGCCGCCGAGCTCGGACGTAGAGGGCGTGCTTCGCGCGAAAGAGGAGGCGACGGAGCGTGCGCTGGCTGAGAAGCGCTGGCGCAAGGCGGATTGGTGGAGAAGAGTTAATCGATGGATGAGCATTGTCGGAGTCGTCGTTATTGCGATTGTGGTGGTTGTCGTGGCCGTTGTCGAGACGAAGTAGATGCGGATGATGATTTGGGAGCGAGGGACGGAATTTGCGGTTTACGTTTGGCTATATACCCAGGTTTCGGTCGGGAGGTCGGCCGGGCCTTTTGATGGCAGGACGGAGGGATTTAACGGAGCGTGGCGATTTATAGGGTTGCTTTTCTTTCCTGTTGCTATTTTCTTTAGCATTTCCTTGCATTTTCCTTACCATTTATCTTTCCTTTCTTCTTATTTCCTTTCCTCTTCTTTTCTTTTTACTGTCCCTATTTCTTCTCATGTTACATTTCTCTGCGCGCCTGTACATCTCTGCGCACCTTTTTTTCCTTTTCCTTTTTCTTTTGTTGGCGGATTGAGGCTCTGTTTCCGTTTGTTTGTTGTCGGGCTGTTGCTGTCGGTTTCGATATACCCTTTGCGCGGAGCGCGGGCGAACTAACGAACGAACGGACGGTCGGTCGGTCGGTCGAATAAGCGATGAGGGGGTGTATATGATTGAGTGTGTTGAGTGGGTGGTATATAGAGAGACTGTGTGGATGTGGAGTGGAAGCGTGGATATTTTTCTCTCTCCTGTGTCGTTTCTCTCTCCGTCTCTGTCTCTCTCTCCATGGGCGTGCGCACGTCGCCGCTCACCTCTTTCTCTCATCGTCTGGGCTTCTGCTCTCTCTTTCTCGGCTTCGGCCTTCTTCTTATTCTTCTTCTTCTTCCTCCTCTTTTTCCTTAGTCCCCCTCTTTCCCTTCTCCTTTGCCCCCGCCCTGCCTGCCACCCCTCCCCCCTCTCACGCTATCGCTCTCCAATCAGGAAAGCATGCAAGCGCACTACACCGAGGGGCGAGGCAGACTTAAAAGTCAGGACAGCTCAGGTCCAGGCGGGGCAGGGCGGGGCAAACCCAGAAGCCGGCCGGCGGCGCGCATAATGATAATACCCGCAACCGTAGTCTAGTCAACATTAGTAGTAGTAGTCGCGCAGCCGCCATAGCCACCCTAATCACCGAAGGAACCGCGGGGAAAGAAGGAAGGAAGGAAGGAAGGGAGAAAGAGAGGGAGGACAGACGCAAGTAAGCGCAAGAAAGAAGAAAAGAAGGAAAGAACGGACAGCAGAAACGCATGAACGCAAGCAGTATATATATAAGCGAGGGGCCCAGGGGAGGGGCAAGAGAGGGGGAGGGGCACAGCACGGAACGGAACCCTGGCCCTGTGGCGAAAAGGAGTCCGTCCCTACTTATGTACGACACTAGTCACGTCCATAGCCACCATTGTCTGTACTAAATAGATTGTAGCCAAGCAGGCGCGTGTATGGATTACAGTATATTATATTATAGGAGAGCAGGGGTATAGCATCAACACCATGGGTATTGCGATTGCTAGGTTTGATTGGAGTGCGTGATCGGAGGGTGGGCGTGGGCGTGTGGGCGTGTGGCTGCTCCGTGGCGCGCGCAGCGGCGCTGCGGCGTGCGTGGTGGGTGCGCGTTTGATGTCCCTACCTAACCACCTTAGCACCTTACCTAGGTAGGTATTGTACTTGGGGGCAGTGGAAGTGTATTGCATTGTGTAGATTTTGTAGTAAATGTGTATATAATCACTAGCTGTCTATCTGTCTGCCTGTGCAGTGTGTACGTTCTACCTACGTGCAGCTGCGCTCGAGCGCTTGACTTGTGATTGACTGCGTTCACGGTTCGGGTTCGGATGGTCTTGTCTTGTTGCCCCGTTGCTTTAGCCTTCACTTCGCCTGTCCTGTGCGTGCGTGCGTGCGCAGGTGCTTGGAGCGCGGGTACGGGGTGTGCGGTTGTGTGGCTTGTGGTGTTGGGTGGGTTTTGCTTGCTTGGGGGAAGAGGGGTTGAGGACGTGCGGTGGGCTGGCGAGGGGAGAAAGGGGGACTATGATAGGAACCGAGGGTGAGCGTGGGAGGGGGAGGGGGAGAGCTGTGCTGGGTTGGGTTGGATTGGATTGGGTTGGGTTAGGGGGTTTGGATATGGTGGTTGGTTTAGCGGGAGGGGCGAGAGATGGATGGATAGATTGATGGCAAGGGGGTTTAGATGATTGAATAGAGATGGTGTATTTGACTAGAGCGGTGTTCACTGAGGTATTTTCGTGTCTGCAGTGCTGGTGATCACGGACGGTGCTTGTGCTGTGAGCCTGTGATGCTCGGGCTGAGTGAAGGTTGGTATTCTGGCGAGATGACAAAAGGGCTTGCGGGGTTCGTATTGGCGCCGTTGGCCATGGAATTCTGAGTTGAGCTTTGCACTCCTGCCCTCTTGTCGATTTCTGGTTTCTGCTAATATATGACATGGCCACGTTTCTGGGCCTTGTAGCTGGTCGTTACGCCCCGCGGGCGAGCATAAGCTTCTCTGCGCACAACGCAACCCCTTGAATTTGGGATTTACAGCTTCGGAAAATACAGAGTTCAAATCGCGTGTGCCCCGAATCCTTGCATTCCATGGATAGTAATTTACATGAGGGTCGGGCTGTGGCCGTAGATCTGCTTCTTGCGGAGGTGCACGGGCACTTCGTTCTTGGGCGCGCCGGGTATAGTCTTCTCCAGCTTCTGCAATCGGAGTCATTAGTACGCTGGCGGTCCAAGCGGTGAGAAGAACAAAGGAGCAGGCCCCGAATGCCGGCGAAACGAGAGCGGATACAGGAAAGGGAAGACGAACCAAGTTGTCAAAGACACACTTGTTCAGCGTCCGCTCGGGCTTGCGGCACTGCCAGAGCTGCTGGTTGTTGTCCTCGAGGCACTGCCAGTGGAAGCGGAACTCGTTCAGGCAGTGCTTGTTGATGTCCTCCAGGCTGTCGCATTGTCAGCGCTGTTCTGCACGCGTGCTTCTCTCTACCCCCATCTCTGCTCATCCCCTCCTCCCCGCGGATACCGCACTCCCCATGGATCGGTAAAAAAGTCCCCGGGCTCTCCGGTGATGGCGGGGTCTGCTTACACGCTGGCAGCGCATCTAGTGACCTTCCTGCCCTCCTTCATGCAGTCGAACTCGCCGGTGCCGTTGGCCTCGGTCTTGCAGACCATGTAGTCGTCATTGTAGGGCTTGCAGCGGGCGCCGATGAAGAAGGAGGCGCTCAGCAGCGGAGCAGATGAGGCGCCGATCTCCTTGACCTTGGGGATGTCATCGGGCAGAGGAGTGGTGTCGACGAGCACCTGCTGGTTGAATCTGGGGCGCGGCGGGAGGTCAGCTGGAGCTCGCGCACGGCCAATTGACGGACGCGCCCACTCACCTGGCGGGCCTTGCTGCCATGGTGGATGTCTGGGTATTAGCTATACAGTAAGGTGCAATTGAGGTGAGGTTATTGGCGACCTCTGGTCTTGGCGCGAAGCCGCGGGAAGTTCCGTTGTCCGGAAGCTCGAGCTTTCCACGCTTTCACAACAACCGCAAGACGCTGCGCTCCCGGTCAACGCCCTCTCGCCGCCCTTGGACCATGCGCGCGTTTGCATAGACAAATCCACGCCGCGACTTTCTTTTCGCTTCTCAGGCTGTGCCACGTCAACTTTATCCTCTGCCACGCGTCTTGCGCACCCCATCGCGCCCGGCGCCCATTGCTAAACACTCTTCCGTTTCTCTGCAACCGCCATGTCTTTATTCGGAGGTAGCACGCAGACTCCCTTTGGGAGCAGCGCTTCTCAGAATAAGCCGAGCCTTTTTGGCAGCTCGACCAACCAGAACACCCAGCAGGTAGGGTCTCAGGCGTCGCACTGCAACTAAATCGCGACTAAACTGACACAATTCGCAGAGCGGCGGACTCTTTGGCAGCTCGACCAACCAGCAGAGCAACACTGGTACAGGTCTCTTTGGCGGCGGCAGCAGCTTCATGGGAGCCAGCCAACAGCCTCAGGGCACCGGCCTGTTTGCTTCCCAGCAGAAGGAGCAGCCTCCAGGCAACTTGTTCGGGAGCGCCAGGCAGACCGTCTTCGGGAGCTCCCTTCCTCCGCCCACTGCGCCAGTCTCGCTGAATGCGTCAAGCTCGGTGTGGCAGCCGCCTCCTCCAGCTCGTGAGTTCTTTGTCCCGTTTGTCATTGACTCCCTGACCTAACAAAGGGCGTCGCATCGTAGACCAGAAGACTGTCCCCGATCAGATGGCAGATCTTCTTGCCAAGTGGTCGCCCGATTCGGGCACTACGGTTTTCCAGAACTACTTCTACAACCAAGTCGATCCGCGCACCGTCCCGTACTACGTCGCGCCCGCCGACGAGGACCCGAAGGCCTGGGAAGAAGCGCTTTCGAAGAAGCCCAATGAGGGCGCGATACCGGTACTGGGCAGAGGCTTCCGCTCTGTGGCGGGTCGGTTAGAGACGCAGGCCAAGGCCGTCGAGGCCCTGCAATTGCGTCTGCACGAGATGAACGACAGCCTGACGCAGATGCTCCAGCAGCATGACCTTATTATCTCGGTCAGGGCAACCGATGCGAAGAGGAGACACATTGCGCTGACGCAGCGCTGCTTGGCGCTGGCCACGAAGTCGCAAATCCTGCGAAACAGAGGATACGCTATGGATGCGAGGGAGGAGCAGCTGAGGAAGACGCTGCTGCAGCTGGAGAAGAAGGCTTTTGACCCCATGCTCAACGGGCGTCAAGAAGAGATTTGGGCGCGGATGAGCGGTGTCAGGCAGCGGGCAAAACTCTTGCAGGCAGAGCTGCAAAAGATGGGCAACGGCACAGGCAGTGCTGATAATGAGGAATTGGACGAGGAGAATCTGAAGTCGATCAAGAAGGTACGGTGGTCCCGCGCAATTCTAGTAAAGATGAAAACTAACAACAATAGGTTCTGGGCGACTTTGACTCGCAGCTCACCCATCTGAAGAAGGAGCTTGATGAGATCACGAAGGAGTTTACAGAGTGGAAGGATGGTCCGGAACCCGGCGCGCATGGAAGATGAACTGGCGAACTGGCGAACTGGCATGCCTGAATTGGATAGGTAGGACGGCTTGGCTAATACCAGATACCATGCTGCACGATTATCAATACAAAAGCTTCAATGTCCTGGAGTCGTTGTGCGCGCGAAGCTATCTGAAGGTGCTCCGGCGGGCTAGACTTGATAAAATACATCCGGCGTACAGCGTGTGCAGCCTCGAAAGTACACCAATACCGCTCTTTCGTAAACTCTGCGGTTCTAATATGACGTCCGAATTACCATCGTTTACGTCCTCTTCGTGCTGGATATGTAGAGTACAGTAGGAACCATCGATCGTCTTAAAACATGCGCTGGGCGTACTCGACAGCGAAGGGAGCTGTGAATGAATTAGGCTCGCTGCACGCGCAGGTGCGATGATGAGACGCTTACAGATGTGGAGGAGAACGCAAATGACGGCGGCGGCGGTAAGGCCTTGGCTGGCGGCCTTCTCCTGCGCGGCGAGCTCGGCCTTGCTGGGCGGTGGGGGCGCTGTTTGCTCGCGTTAATACAGGTCGAGAGAGGGAGACAAGAGCGACTCACGTCCTCCGAACATTGTGGGTGCGTTGTTTGGGTAGTGGGTGTGAAGTGGAAGTCGGAGCTATGGCTTGCTTTCTGGACGTCAACTTTTCGATCAGTCGCCGAAGTTCTTGGCGCGCTACCGACGGGGCATTATGACCACCTCCATCGTCTTTGACGCTCCAGCACCCTAACCTCACCACCTCCACCCCATTCAAATTCGTGCGCGACACTTGCGATCGCGTCTTCGATCGCCCATCATCATAGATACCCGCGCGGTCTCGTAAAGCCACTCGATCCATCAGCGCACCCCGAATAGCTTCACCACAATGGAGGACGTTCAAGTTAGCGACACGCCTCCCGACCCGAGCCTCCTCCCCGAGGCTGGCAACGACCCGGCCGACCCGCTGCGCCCTGAGATTGAAGAGGAGAACCAGGTGCCAAATCCGCCCTTGGCGGCGCCCAACCAGGACATGGAGTTGACGGACGGCGCCGAGAACGGCATCGGCGAGGACGAAGAAAACAAAGGCCAGGATGGCGGCGACGAGTCAGAGCTGTCCGACGTGGATGAGGCGCAGTTTGAGGAGTTCGACCCGGACGCAGTGCACATTCCTGTCGCGGTGGACGAGAGCAACGTCGGCCTGATCGGCGTGCACAAGCGCAAGCGCGCGGATGGCGAGGGTGAGGGTGGCAGAAAGAAGAAGAAGGAGGGCCGCAGAGAGAAGCCTAGGAAGGGTAGGAAGAGGAGAGAGGATGAGGTGTCTGGTGGTGATGCAGAGGCCGGCGGCGACGAGCGGAGGAGCAGCAGGAGAAAGAAGCCGGAGAAGGTGGTGGTGGAGGAGGATGAGAGCAATTTGACGCCAATGGAGCGTCGCAAGCGTGCTCTCGACAGAGCCATGGACGAGGCGCTGAAGGCCGGAAAGCGCACCAGGAGAAAGAAGGATGGCATTGTAAGCGGCTTCATCCATTGTCAATCTGCAACCGCTAACACTTTTAGGACCTCGATGCCATGGCCGATGCCGAAATCGAAGAGATGCGGCGCAGGATGACCGAAGCCGCGCAGGCCGACAACGAAGGCCGTGAGCGCGGCATGCCGGCCTCCAACAAGCTCAAGATCTTGCCGGAAGTAGTTGCGCTGCTGAACCGCAACAGCATCCAGAACTCGCTTGTGGATCCCGACATCAACCTCCTGCAGGCAGTGCGCTTCTTCCTGGAGCCGCTCAATGACGGCTCGCTGCCGGCGTACAACATCCAGCGCGAGCTGTTCACCGCGCTGACCAAGCTGCCCATCACTAAAGACTCGCTGATTGCATCGGGAATCGGCAAGGTCGTCAACTTCTACACCAAGAGCAACCGCCCCGAGCCCGGCATCAAGCGCACAGCCGAGAAGCTCATGGGCGACTGGACGCGCCCCATCCTCAAGCGCACCGACGACTACCGCAAGATGGAGCGCCCCGAAGCGCACTACGACCCGAGGTACGTACAATCCACATTCTCTCCCATATTACGCACCCCTTACATCACCCTTGTTACTACTCTACTAAACATCTCGCTAACAACCGCAACAGCCGCATCCCCGCCCGCGCCGTCGCGCAGCCCTCGGCCGCATCCACCCAGGCCGCCGCCCGCGCCAAGGCTCTCGCGCCCCCGGACCGCGGCCGCGCCCGCCACGAGGGCGAGCTCCGCTCGTACACTATCGCGCCGAAGAGCAACATTGTCGTGCCGGACGTGCAGCAGACGCGCGGCGCGGGGTCGAGCGAGACGGCGAAGAGGCTCAAGCTGGGGCGTGCGGGTGGTGGGCGTCGTTAGTGGGTAGAAGTGGGGGTTTCTTGCTTCAATGGGAAGTATGGATGGGGTTATGGTGGGTGGGGTTGGGTGGTGGTGGTGATTGGAAGGAGGGATTGGGAGGCGGGTGCGCACTGCTGCTGCTATTGCTGCTATTGCTGCTGGGCATGCACGTGGGGAAGGGTATAAAGTGCGTTCAAACCGCTTGCGGAGGTCGACGAGTGGGTAAAAGCGCTAGAGCGCGTCTAGGTTGTTGCAGACAGACAGGCAGGCAGACAGGCGTTGAAGGCGTGAGGTCATGATATCGGGATGCGGCATTCGCAGACACAAACAAACTACCTATCTCTCAATCAAGCAGTCTGTCGACGACGGATGGATGACGGATGGGACTTTTCTTCCTCTTTTTCTTTTTTCTCTGTACGATTACCATATCAAACAGCAGCATTGCCGGTTGGGTTGGTTCCATTGAATGGACTGGGCTTATCCTCTTTTTCTTTTTTTTCGTATTTTCTTTTTTCTTCATATCTTTCTTTCTTCTTTCTTCTTCCTTCGTTTCTTTCCTTTCTCCTTTCCTGCTTGCTTGTTTGTTTGCATCAGGACAAAAAAGAACGAACGCGATATTAAAATGGGTTGCACGCACTTATGCGTTCTTTTGCTGTCTTGGCTTTTTATGGTTCTTTTTCTTTCTTCTCGCGCGCTTTTGATAAGAGCGGGTGAGGCTGCTTCGGCTGGCTTGTGGGTGTCTGCAGGCACTGTGTGAGTGGGTCTGTTTTTGGACTGTTTCTGCTTGAGACAGAGCCATTGACCCCATTGCTGTCTCGGTCTCGATTGGTCTTGAATCAAGCACCTACCTAGGTATGGAGGTAAGACCTCCGTCTCAAGCAAACAATCGACCTACTCCGTACCGTACCTACCGCTTACCCCACTCTCCAGCAGACACCACCCGCATCCCCGTCTTCATCCCAAACCCCGAAACAATCCGCCGCAACCCTTTCAACCCTTTCTTCCCCCCAACTCCAACACCAGCACACACACAACCCCTCCCTGCCCCAGCCTACCTACCCAGCCGGTCAAAACCGCATCCCCCCAGGACAGCCCAGCACCCCCGCCACTATCGCGCCGATCCCGGCTCTAAACGAGGTCCGAGGCCCAATCACGCCCGCCTGCACCGCCGCAGCGTCTTCGCCCTAACCAACTGTGCTGAGCGCGCCGAGCTGAGCTGAAACCCCGCTGCTAAGAATAGTGTGTGGATTGATGGTGCTGGGGTTGGGGCCAGTGAAGGCGCGAGTGCTGCTGGTAGTTAGGTATTGTCGGCTTGGGTGTACGGATTGCCTCTGCCGGCGAAGAAGAAGAGGAAGAAGCAGAAGCAGCAGAAGAAGACGGAGGAGGGGACGCCGTACCATCAACCCCATCCCATCCTCACATACCTTAGATACCACCACCATCCCGTCCCATCCCGTCCCGTCCCCCACCCTTGCACCGATTCATCAAGCACGCACGCACGCAGGGACCACTTCTAATCTCCCACCCCATCTCCCATCCCATCTGCCATCTCCCAGCCTCGCAAGTCAAACCTAACCAAACCAGGCCAACCCGCCCCCTGCCCACACCCCGTTTCAAGTCCCCAATTCCTGCTCCCCGCCGTCTGCCGCCGTCTGCCGTCGCGGAACACGAACGCCCATGCCCGCGGCATGAACATGGACATGGACATGTGGCAGCGTTCGCGGCGCCGCGGTGGCTGCTAGGTCTCGCTAGTTAGTTGCTTTATGACGGCGAGCAATTGGCACGGCGTGCGGGTGCCAATGACTTGCTTCCAGCGCAGCCGTGTCTCGAGATGCGCGTACATACGTAGGCTACCTACCTAGGTGGCGGCCGGAGCGCCAATTGCTTGCCTGGGTAGGCATGTAGCTAGGTGCTAGGCTGCTGGAGCACGGGGGTGAGTGAGTAAGTGAGTGAGTGCTCGTTGTTCGCTGACTTGTTGCTTGCTTGCTCACTCGCGGACTAGTTAGCTAGGCACATAGGCACGTAGGCATGTATGTGTGTAGGCATGAATGTGACGATAGGCAGAGCGAATTGGGGCAGGACACACTGAGAGGCAGACATGCGCGCCAAGACTTCCGGTGAGAGCGGGTGCGTGGCGAGGCGAGGCGAGGCGGTTCAATGGCTGTTGATTTGACAGACGGTGCCGATTGCAAGGCGTGCCAGGACCTGGCTTCCTTGGACTATCTATTGTATGACGATGACAATGGCAATGGATGGGGCGTTTGGTGAGGCATTGAGCGTGCAGGGGAGCCAGTGAGGCGGGTTGCTTGTGCTGAGGCTTGGGTGGTGATGGGGGGATGGATGGGGGGATGGGTGAGGGGATGCTTGCCGTGCTCGCTGCTCACTGCTCGCTGCGCTCGCTGCGCTCGCTTTGCTTTGCTCGTACGTGGTAGACTCATGGAATTGCTGACAATTAGAAAAACCAACGTCACCATTAATAACAAAAAGCAATAACGGTGGAGCAGCGCGGCGACGGGCACGACTCCCCACGAGCAAAA